GTGGAGACCCTTCAAGAGGAAGGTGCCACCTCACAGCTCCTGCCTCTGGCACAGCCAACGATGGAAATAACTCCCTCCTGAGGGCCTGAAAAGCTGCAGGTCCCTGAGGCAAAAAGCCTTGGAGAAACACTGGGAAAGGGATGCAAGGAAACTTGGAGAAACTTGCAGAAACCACTGCACTCATGATGCTTCCCTCACAGGCAGTGCTGCTGGAATCAGGTCACCAAGTCCCCCTCCGTGAGCCATCCACCCGCTAATTTTCAGAGGCAAAGACATCATGTTTTGATATACCAGGGTTGTGCTGCTTGTGACCTAACATCCAAAGTTGTCATTTTCTCTTCCCTCAAAAGCCACATCTTTGGAGAGTTCTGTATGACCAGGACAGCAGATGACATACTACTGTTCAGTACTTGTACTCACACCAATTGCTCAACATAAGGAGCAATGTCTTCTATGTAAAGCATCGTCAGGGGTGAAACACCACTCAAAAATGCAGGAAAACAGAACAAGAGTGTTATTATTTGGAAGAAAGAATCAGGCTGCATCAGAGCCCAAATCTAAAAATACTAAATAAACCACTTTGTGTAGAAAGGTTTTTATTTTGAAATCAGGTTTTGTTTTTTTTCTTTCAAAGTTTGGAAATACAGTGTAAAGTACAGCATCGAATTATGTCTGCAAGTCAGCTTATGCATGTCATGCCAGTTATTTACATGTAGCTATATACAGAGTGCAGATAATTACTGAAACCACACTACAAAATAAACAGAGAGTTCAATAACATAATTTAGTAGGACTTTATTAAATATATATAGCTATTGATTGCATATACTTTACTATTAAAATCCCATATAGTATCTAAAGTAACCCCTATAAACTCTAATACCTTCAAAATTATCATAAATATGATTAAAAACTGAAACTATCCATGTGCCCTGTTTAGCTGCTTTGCCCTCTGCTATAACAAAAACAGTGCTGAGATCATGCTGCTATCTTTTGAGTCAGAACTTTAACAATAATTCCCGATAAAACACTCGCAAAAAGCTCAGATGCAGAGTAGCCTTCAGCTGAGACACCAGCACCATTCTCTATATTTAAAATTAACAAGGGTAATCCAATGGTTTATTAAATACTGCCACATACAGGACAAGAAAAACAATGCTATAATCTTCAGTGACTGAATTACAACAGTGAATTAGTAGCTGTTTGGATACCAAGCACCATATTAAAGCAAAATGAAGCAAATGCCCAAAGCCCATGCAAAATCTTCTCCTAAAAACAGACCTCCCAACTTGCACTGAAGAGGCCAATCAACAGTCTGATTTTAGCATGAGCAGTAACTGGACGGGCTGCAGCTGTCAGGGCTGCATGACCAGAGACAGTGAGACTGAGCACTGCCTATAGCTTCATGCCTAGATGGTGTGATGAGTAATTTATATAGGGCACTCTGCTGAAAGAAAGAGTAATGCCACGCCGTATCATATATTACCTCATTAACAGAATATGCCATTTACTTCTGGGGGGATTCTGGCCAGCAACCCTCACAATAAATTGTTAAAGGTCTGTCTTTGACTTCGCTAGAGCTTTGAGAGTTTCTGTCAGTGAAGAAGGTCCACTCCAGTCCAGGGGACCTGATCCCCTACTGGGATTTCGCTTCTTGCTGCTCAATCCAATATTGCACAAACTGCTGCCTTAGGAAAAGAAGTACAAAGAACAAAATGCTTTTTAGTTTCATTATTTATTCTGATGCAATCTTATTACGTAGAAAATAACCAGTGGAGAAATGTAACAAGAAAATCCAACTGCTGTCATACAATGCTTTTTCTTTGTTTTGCTTCATTGTTCTGAACTGCTGAATTTTGCAACTTTTCTTTTCCAAACATGTCTTTCCTAAAGGCACATTACAATTCAATCCAATTACAGGCAAAGCATAAAGATTAGCACCAGCAAACATACGAAAGGAAAATAAGTTACTATCACAGAATAGCATGGCCAGCAAATCTGTGCATTTGTTTTTTACAGAAATAATTGAACAATGAACTATACAGATTAGTTAGGGATGTAAGTGATAGCTATGGTTTAATTTAAGAGTTTTGTTACATATAACTCTAAATGCCAAAATATGGCAAGGACATTTTAATACTGAACTCATAGGGATTACACAAAAAATATTTTTTCATCTTTATCATCATTAATAAAAAGTGTGAATATAAAATATTATACTTTACATATTTATCATACAATATATCGGTCCTTCACACTATTAATTTGATTCATGTTGTGCAACATGCATCAAAAGGTTTAACAAAATAAAAACATGGCTAATTACATAAGTTGTGGGTACGGAGGTTACTTCCACAGGACAAACAGCAATCACAACGTGTCATCTACCTTGAGTTCTACAGTGATATTTGGACAAAAACTGCTGCATGTTTTTAGGAAGGATAATAATAATTGAAAAATTGTGTAACCTTTGCTGGTAAATTGAAACCCAGTAAATCAGTACTATGAACTAATTTAGTTCAGCTTGCCTAATTTTCTGGTATGTCACTATCAAGATACTGTATCTTCATTTAAATGTTATATAGATTTCTGTTCCTTTACAATTACCAAAAGGGATTTTTGGTCAGGTCTGAGAGTATCATCATTAAATAAGCTTTGGTGTTGTGCTCTCCCCATTTCAATCTTTGAGTACGCGGTACTTAACTTTCCAGTTAAATGTACAGCTTCTTGTAGAGATGAACAAACTCTCTCTTAGAACGTCAAGGAAGAGCTGGAGCATCCACAACCCAGCAGTGGGATTACACAGAAAGTGCTTGTTATGTACTGCAGAAAAGAGGAAAAAGAATACCCCATAAAATATTAAAAAAGAAGAAAATCCTACTAATTGAGAGTGAGTGGTTCACTGTGATGAAGAAGGGGCATAACCTTTTTCAGATCAAAATGCCAGTTTAAAGCTAAGCCATTTCAAAATTATTTATGCGATCACCATGGCTTGTTCAGAAGAAGGGCCTGAAACAGTGTAGAGCCTTACAGAGGAAAATACAGATGTTTTGTAAGCGGCAGAATGAATGGCATCCAGTTTTTATGAAGTTCACTTCTGCAATTCAATTTTGTGTCTAATGTGAGATGAATGCATGGGAACATACAAAACACCTCCACAGGGATTCCTCCAGGTCTCTCTACAACCTTTCCCTCAGTAGGTACAGGCCCTGCTTAATCTGTAACTGAACGTTCCATTTTTACAAAGCTTTTAATGAACTTGGCATCTTTGAGTCCTCAGATCAGCTGGCTTCAAAATACAATATTGAAGAGTAGGCAGAAATACACACAGGCTGTGAGATGGCCTAATGTTGGTTTCCCCCTGCTTTTTAAATCAGGCTAGAGCAACACGAGAGCAAACATTTTCTATTTCAGCATTCCTCAAGAATTTCACAACATTTAACTGCTCCCAAGAGGTATAAGAGGTCATCAGAGGATGTTCAACAGAGGTCAGTTTGACACTGGCCCTGGTGGAATAGACAGAAGTTGGGATTTTTCCCTAGACCACTGCATTTCTCTGCCTGGGTAAGATGTATGCTCAAAGCTCTGCCTCCCTCTCTGCTGCTTTTGCCTTCAGCAGCCTTTCTCCTGGGGAGTTCACCAGAGGGAAGCCTTTTGACAACCTGCAATTTTTGGATTGTGAAATACAGCAAAAACACAACCAAAACCATGCCAATGATCTCAGGGCAGTATCAGTTTCAGGCATAGCTTACACTACAAAAACTTGGCTTGCCTTAAGACTAAAAAAGACTCAAGCTGGTGAGAAAAGACCTTCACTTCCTTTCACATCTGCTCTGGGCAAATTAGATGAGCACACGTCAGCCTTCACTGCCTGTGACAATGGCTGGAACAACCACTCAGTGCACTGAACACAGCCTGGTCTTAAGGTGAAGTGAAACATGATTTGAGACTTAATGAAACTGTTTAGAATGAAGAAAGAACCCAAAAAACTCAGTCACTAATTCCAGGGGTCTGTCCTCAACTGCCTGCAGTCAGCCTTGTCCAGAATCCCCCTCTGAGAAAAAAAATGCTAGATGATTTCTGGGAGGATGCTCTCCCAGCCTCTCTCCTTCTCTGATCACCACTTTAATTAGTGAGGAGAAGGATCCTGCAGGCTTTTGCCACCTGTCTGAACTCCAACACAGAACAGCTCTACAGAAACTACACACTACATACAAGTAAAGAAGGTTCTGATGGAACCTTCCATCCTTAAGGTGTAAAAAGAAAAAAAAAGGAAAAAAAGAAAAAGAAAAAAAGAAAAAAAGGAAAAAAAGAAAAAGAAAAAAAGAAAAAGAAAAAAAGAAGGAAAAAAAAAATTTCTATCTTAAACAAGAAAAAGATTACTGATGCTTTTAGTCCCAACAGAAGTTTAGCACTAATTCTGAAGAGTTACTAATATGGAGCTTAAACATCTTGCTTTTCAATCAGGCATGGTACATAGCCAAGTATCAGTATGTTTTTCCTCAAGATGTGCAAGAAAGATGCTCATGACTGAGAAAGCTGCTTATGGTTCTGGTTTTGTTTTGTTTTGTTTTTTAGTTTGGTTTGAGTTTTTTATTCCATCAAAGGGGAGAAATCTTTGTCAAACAGTTTGGCAGAAGTTGGGAGAAATAATACTAAATACTTCTATTGCTGGATGGAGCTTTCAGCATTCATAGCTTATAAAATTAGATACTTCACAGGCCATTTGTCTTATTTGCAATGGAAAAAGTTGAAAAAGGACTCAGCTACAGTTTATCTCTGGTTTCAAAACATGTTGCTGTTGTTCACTGCTCACTTCACATGACTACCAGTCACTCCAGAGTCAGCATCTCCTTGTTTTCTACAGATGTTGTGGTGAGAGATAATATCTTCCAGATGATGGGTATCATAGAAACAAAAGTTATTATTATGTATACCAATACAGAAAGAAGGGAATAAATCTAAGAAGCATTTGAATGAAGCATTCATTAAAAATATCACATTTTGAATGAGCATTTCTGCTCAGGCAGTGTATAAACTGATTTTATTATCAGTTGTATAAATTCTATGCCTTATTGTAATCTCAGTGACTAACAGAAGCTCAAACTTCTGATTTATGGAAAACTCATTTCTTATTTGAAATGGTTAGGACTTATTTTAGAATTAAGTTTTCTAAGAGAGAATTCTGATCACAATAGAAGCATTACTTACATTATGGAAAAAAAATACAATTTTCCATAATAAAACCCCACAGATTGCAAGAAATGTCACCGAGTGCATCGCCTCTAAATTTCACGCTCCTGTGAGCAACATCCTAGGACCTGAAAGTCTGCCGCTAAATAGCAACTTTTTTGATTTTATTGCTCTAGGGCTCCTTACCCATAAAAGAAGAACAGAACAACCTTTTGCAAACAATGGAAGTTATTTAAACAGAGTACCGTCTTCAGTACAGAAACTGTTAACTGTTTCATTACATTCTGTTCCGTTGATAGGGAGCTGTGTAACTTGCAGCTGCATTGTTCTGAAGGAAATCTACCACTCAGCTAACAGGCTGATCCCATATCTGTGTCAGATAAAAATCATAGTGCTTATTATTTGTTACCATGGATACCATGAAGATATTGCTGTCCACTAAAGATTACTAGAGGAAGACAACATAATTCTCAGGAACGAGCCCTGTTTTGCCTTCGTAAGTTGCTTTTAACCAGCCTGGTTCCACTGATGGATACACTGCAAAAAAACAGCCGGACAAAAAAAAAACAGATTTACAATTAATTAATTCTGTTAAACAACCCTATGAACCCCTAGGTTCATAGATTTATATAGATACTATTTATTTAAGAGAAATTGAAAAATCAGAGCAAAAACTGAGAACTGAAAATGGAATTACACTCTCATTTTATGGATACAGCTCGGTTTTCATATATATACTTTTTTTTTTTTTTTGACATAATAAAGACAATGTGAAACTTTTCTTACCATTAGAAAATATTGCCCCCTGTGGGAAAGACAGCTCATGACTATGTTCAGCCTTGCAGGAATACATGGCTTTTGCTTGTCTGAAAGAAAAAAAATGTAGGCTTGCAATAAATGAAATAACAAGAAAAACATGTAAAGAAATTAAACTAAACCCAGGGAAGTGTAGGATAAATCAGTTGCACAAATGCAGGATGGTAATGACTGGTTAGACAGTAGGTCAGAGGAGCAGAATCACAGCAGAAACTAACTCCAAGTTTACTGGGGTTAACAAACATGTTACTGCAGAAAAGAGACCAACATCCTACTTCGAATTTTAAGCAAAAATATGATTTATAGCCTTTAACATTATTCGTTCATTCTAGTTGAAGTTGTAACTCGAATACTGAACTGAGCATATTGCTTGAAGCAAGTGATGGACTGCCTGGAGACCATTTAAAAGTGACTTGTGACAAAATATAGTTCATCAGTCTACAGAAGAAAATCATACATAGACGATAAATATGAGACAAAAAGGAGCAACCCAGGATTTAAACAGCTTTAAACTGCAGCAAGGGAGATTTAAATTGAGTGGCTTGGTTTCAGTGGGTTTCAGCTTCAGACACCTGAATTTAGATGTCTTTAGGTAAACTACATGCCTAGCTGCATGGACACCCCAGGCCTGGCTTCTGCTACAGCAGACATGTATTTGAGTGCAATGAATGGCTCACCAGGTTCCACGGCCTGTGGAGAAACCTTCCACAAATAAATAATATCTGACATGAAGACTCCTATATGTAGACAGGTAAATTTATGTTTCTTAAATCTGTAGCTGGAAGACCCCTCTATTGTTTAGAACAGTGAAGCACCAGAAGTGCCAAGCATTGGAGAATTCCTGAATTGAAGAATTCCTATAACTAAAAGTTCATTAAGAAAACAAAGTGGCACTACACAGATACAGCTAAAAGTTAGATATATAATTATTCTATCCCAGACAAGAAGGACAGATTAGGTCATCTCTTGACACAGTTTCTAGTACTATTATTCTGCAAAGTACAAAATGAGGGACTGACCATGAAGATGAAAATTTAGAGTTCCTGCGCTTTACCTAATACCTTGATTTCAGTTTATACACTCAAAGCATTTTTTATATGTTCCATGAGATTTTTCTGAGTTTCTTTAAATTTATTGGAAGCCCACATTATATCAAGTGAAGATGAACTTTTGATTATTTCACCATTGTACGACATGCTGGGAAGTTACTGATTCACCTTAGCTTCCAGCCAGGATTTATCTCAATGACCCAGTATGTGACCTGTGGTGAAGTTTAGTGCTTTTTGCATACTTTTTGAGTGTGTATATATGCAAGAGACATGTAATCTGTTTTGCCTTTCCTCCCAAAATAGTTAGATAACAGTCGTAAATTAGGTTAGTAACACTGCCACATCACAAGCATTAGCATAAGAAGTCTATTTTATTTTGTGTATCACTGATGGGGCCATGGCACTTCACATTCAGAGTTCCATGTCTCCCTGGAGAGCCTAAGCAGGGATGGATTTCCTAAAGGGAGCAGAAAGCATCCCTCTACCCTGGCGTCATTCCCTGGTCCCAGTCAGTACTAGCACACTATCATTATCGTCATTAAATCTTTAAAAGGGTGTGAAAGTGTCTGGACATATTCCAAAGTTTTTATGTGCGAGCTTTCCAGAAATGTTTTCTCCCTCTGAAGAAAAAGCTTTTCTTATGTTTCTCTGAAGCTCATTTATGACTAGACCAAATGGCATGTTTTGCCTTCATCCGAAGAGAGCAACTGACTCATCAAGGGCTATACTCTCAGGCTGAGACTTCCAGAGGAGGTCAAGAATTTTGAGTTGTGGCCACAGTACCCAAGGATACCTTATTCTCAGGATGCTGAAAATAATTTCTAACTCTTAGTACTGTCGTTCTGGATACATCTCCACTGCTAACTAGAACAACATGAGCACTGGACTCCTGCATGTCTACTTCACTTAAATGTTAGCTTTCTTTCTGGCTGGTGTAGTCTGCTCTCTGTGCAGCATTTTTCCAAGACAGCTCCTTCGTGCCTACTGTTACGAAGAATTTGCCATCTACAGTTGACAAGTGTGAAGATAATACATACACATTTACACATAATAATCTCTATAATATATAATAAAATATACAGAGGGAGATTAGATGGCTTTACTAAAAGTAACCTATAAGCTAGAATTGAATACTTTAATCTCAAGATCATTTTTCCTCAAAGTCAATACAACAAAGAATGCTACAGGTGTTCTATTATAATGATCCAGACTGGAAAAACAGCTATTTTCTCTTGTGGTGGGTTGACCCTGGCTGGACACCAGGTGCTCACCAAAGCCTATCACTGCCCTCCTCAACTGGACAGGGGAGAGAAAAACATGATGAAAGGCCTGTGGGTCAAGATAAGGGCAGGGAGAGATCAGTCACCAGTTGCTATCATGGGCAAAAACCAGGCATGACTTGGGGAAATTAGTTTAATTTATTACCAATGAAATCAAGGTAGGGTAATGAGAAATAAAACCAAATCTTAAAAACACCTTCCTCCTGCCCCTGCCTTCTTCCTGCGTGCAACTTCTCCTTCCCTGAGTGGTGCAGGCGGATAGGGAATGGGGGCTGTGGACAGTTCATCACACATTGTCTCTGCTGCTCCTTCCTCCTCAGGGGAGGACTCCTCACACACTTCCCCTGCTCCAGCATGGGGTTCCTCCCATAGGAGATAGTCCTTCATGAGTCCCTCCCATAGGCTGCAGTTCTTCATGAACTGCTCCAGCATGGGTCCCTTCCATGGGGTGCAGTCTTTCAAGAACAGGCTGCTCCAGCATGGGTCCCTTCCGTGGGTGCAGTCCTTCAGGAACAGGCTGCTCCAGCGTGGGTCCCACACGGGGTCACAAGTCCTGCAGCAAACCTGCTCCATGTGGGATCCTCTGTCCTGTCCACAGGGTCACAAGTCCTGCCAAAAGCCTGCTTCAGCACAGGCTTCCCACACAGTCACAGCCTCCTTTGGGCATTCCCCTGCTGTGGCATGGGGCTCTGTCCAGGCTGCAGGTGGATATCTAGTCCACCGTGGACCTCCATGTCCTGCAGGGCTACAGCCTGCCTCACCATGGGCTGCATGGGGATCTCTGCTCCAGCACCTGCAGCACCTCCTCCTCCTCCTGCACGTTGGTATCTGCAAGGATGTTTCACATATTCTCACTCTCTTCTGGCTGCTGTTGCACAGCAGTTTTTCCTCCTTCTTAACTATGTTAAGCTACCGCTATCACTGATGGGTTCAGCCTTGGCCAGTGGTGGGTCCATCTTGGATCCGGCTGGCACTGGCTCTATGAGACATGGGGAAGCTTCTAGCAGCTTCTCACAGAGGCAGCCCCTGTAGCCCCACTGCTACCAAAACCTACCCATGCAAACCCAATACACCTGTGTGGCCTAATCATATATTTTAAACATATAAAACTGTAGAGTAACTGTTAACAATGAGTACAGTTCCAATAAATACAAGGTAATTGGTAATGAATTTAGTAAACCTCATTACTTAGTGGCATGACTATCAAGACAGTTTCCCGTGTTAAGAATGTGACATCTGAATAGTACTGTGACAAGAGACATATAAGGCAGTAATAGAACAGCAATATTTAAATGTGAGGCAGAATTATTTAAGTTATTCTTGAAATATGACATGTTGCTTTTAGTGTCCTTCGAAAAAGTTAAGAAAATAAATGCCATTTTATCCTATATTCTCTTCTGTCTACTGAACTCTTCCAATTTTACCCAATCCAAGTATGTTTACCTTAAAAGTAAAAAGAAGTTAAGAAACCACGGACTCTGATTTGGTCAGTTCTAGAAAAAAAAAAAAGCTTCCCAGCATTTGATATTTAGACAGATACATAAACACATGTGCGATGGTGTCAGTTTCTCTGAAGCTCATGAATTACAAGATCCTTCCCATTACCTTGCTCCTGATACAGAATAATTACATCTCAATGTTATCTACAAACTGTGTGATAGGGTAATGAGATACAGATTCTAAGAATATTTACTCATAATTCTTCAGCAACTTTCAAGCTCCTGGTTATTGCCTCCACCTTGATTTGATTACTTAGGTTTTCATAATAGTTATTACTTCAACCCTACCCAGCGAGAAGCATTAACCTTGAAAAGGGGTTGCAGGTTCTTGGGTATTTCTTTTTTGCATGTGTGTGATTATCAAAATGGACAATCTTACTTGCATGTTAATGCTGTCCTCCCTGCAAACAAGGCTGCTTCTGAAAAAACATGTGATAAGATCACCATCATTTATTATGGTTCTCTTAATATGGGGCTAACAATCTGAGAAGTGTGATTCATGTTGTTCAGTGCAGAGAGAAAAAAACAACTTCAGAAAATGGTAACCACATTTCCTAGAAGTTCCTTCTTTCCATGACTTTACTGAATAAGATTCCAGATGAGAAAAATGCACTTTACCTCTTCCTACTTTTTATTACATTTTTTTGAGCCCATAATGATAGACTTATACTAGCAGCAGAAGGATCAGATCATAAATTATTTTGCTTGTCTACATGCAGTCAACAACACCTGAGGCTCTTTTAATAATAATGATGATAACAACACCACCTGAGGCTCTTTTAATAATAATGACAATAACAACAACAAAAACAACAACAACAAAAACAACAGAAACAATAATTTTAGAAGTTTTATAAATAAGTTTTAAAACTATGCTTCTGCCCAAATGGGTTTTCAGTCTTGCAAGACAAAGAAGCCAGAAAAGGAATGACTGAGAGAAAACACACGAATCCTTCTCTCAAATGACTTATCAGTTAATAGTATTCTACAGGAAGAAGAAAGGTTTATAGAGTTCTGGAGATGGCAGACTTACAGCCAAGCTTGAGTGAGTAGAAAACACTGGTCTGGTCTGGTCAAGGCAAAATATAGCATGAAAATGAAACCAGAAGAATGACTGGGAAAGCATATTCAATCATATGGCTGGGAGGGGAGCACAGGTCCAGAGGGCTTCATACTGTCAGCCTACTCCTATTAATGTCCCAATCCATTGAGCTTGGAGATCCTGCTTCCAAGCTAGAGCCATTTACTGACATCAACTCCCCTTACTGTCATCAACTCCATTTTTCTATGTATTCTTTTCTAATGAAAATTCCTCTTCTTATAATGCATTTTCTCAGTTCAGAAGACTTGACTTTCTGTGTACCTCTGAATCAAAGTCAAGAAAACATAGAGCCAGGGATTGTGTTGGTGCATTTTGTACAGAAGCGGCAATAGAGAACTCAGACCTCACTAAGACTGTTATCTAACTGCAATATTTGTGAAAGTGGTAAGAAAACTCCTTTGCATCTTTCAAGTGCATACTAGATTACCAATAGGGACTGGCCTTAGTGTACACACTAGCTTAATACAACAGTGAGGGAGATGGATGAATAACAAACTTGGAAGTCAGGAGGGAAGGAATGGGAAGACTGAGAAGTCAAAGCAACTAGAAGTGGAAAAAGAGAGCACAGGCTGGACAGGGCATAACATTTTGGTATTCCCTGTCCAATCCTAAATATGTACTGTGGCCTCTCGTTCTCTTTTTGAGTAAAAGAAATCTCTTCAAACTGGTAGCACTATGGGGGCATGTACTCAGGCATACAAGGAGAGAAAACAGTCAGGTCAAATAACATCCCAGCATTAAAAAAGAAAAAAGGGACACAGACTCAGAGATGCTGCATTATATAAAGTCAAGAAGCAGAGTTGCAAAGACCTCTTGGAAGAAGGAATTAAGTAACACTGGGCCACAGTGGTGGCAAAGCATCAAGTGCAAAATTATCTGGTGGAACACATAGAAACATGTGAGACTGAGGTACTTTCCATCTGTCGACTGTACAAATGACCACAAGAGGGAACAGATGCTTCAAATACAAATGAAGCTACTTAGATACTGTAATATATAAGTAAGCAGTAGCTTAAAATTTCAAAACTAGTTATTTTAGCAGGGTAAATTATTCCTGCACAGAGTTCAATACTGTCTTGAGTACTCCCGGTATCAGACCAGACAGCTTAAAAACAATTACTCTGTCTTATGCTCTGTCCTGCATATACTCATTAGGTAATAGAGTTATGACCACAAACAGCCTTTCTACTGAGTGGATCAAGATTTAATTACCATGATTTCTACATACTTCAGAGCTAAAAAATGACTATCCTAAGGTTTTAAATCAGCCTTCGTGTTCATAATATGCATGAGAGGTAAACAAAAGCTGGCTTTAAATTGCAAAAATGTACTCAGACTTTAGCAGCACTGTAAGAACAGCTGAGCTGCTTATTTCTTCCTCATTTTGCCTGCTCACCTCTTATTTTCCATTCCCCTTGTTACTGTTGCTCTTCTGCCTTCTTAGGAAGTCTGAAGTAGAGGAGCTATTAAGCCGTTCAGCATTTTTGGCTTTGTTATTGGCTCTCCATACCCATTATCAAACTGCTACATTTTTTCTTTGTCAGATTTTTGCTTCTTACATGCTTTTTATATATAGATACAGGTGGCACAGGCTCTGAGCAACAGGGAAGAGTTTACAAGAAGGGAGTAATACAAAAATAAGAGTAGGAAGGTGAAATTATGCAGAACTGGTGAAGCAGTCATCACTCTGGGCTTAAGAACATTCCAGTCTCTTAATTTACATTTCCTTAGATAATTGCCCTGCTCTTTTCCTACCTTTTTCCTCCCCTGACACCCTCTTTTTTGGTCACCTTACAGTTCAAGTACTACACAAAACACGAACAGCCTTAATTCCTGTAAGCTGCTTCTCTCACACAAAATCAGTGAGCCTTTGTAGGCCCGCTTTCTCTTTCTTTCCTCTGATAGATCTGTCAGAGAGAACAGCTATATTCCACTGCCACAAGTCTCAGCATACACTGGTACTTCCCTTTACAGCTGTGCTACTTTAGATTACTACTTCTGGATTAATGGTCTGACATCCTCCCAAACCTCCCCCCAGTTTGCTTGACAGTTCAGTAAGATCCTGCTATCAGTGAGTAAAGTGATGCACAAAAACACACGTGCTGTCTCAAAGAACCTGAAATGCAGGCACAGTGGAAAAAAAAAAAGGAGACAGACTTTTTCCCACTTCCAGTTACTTGATTATCTGCTTTAATCTGTTAATAGTAAGGGGGTTAGTAACATACCTAGGAAGACACTGCTTCTGGATGAACACTTATCAGAATATTCTGAATTCATTGAATAATAAGAATGAATCAAATCCACCAAATAAATGCAACAATTGTAAAAAAGAAAAATGTAAGTAATTCCTGCTGTGCGCTGTCAAGAAGAAAAGGCCACAGTTTCTCCATACAGATATACTGGAAGGTGTGATGGCAAGGACAGAAATTCCTCATCAAGTTAACCTTGAACTTTCTAAAGCAGCTGTTATTCAAGACCTGCCTATATGAGCAAATTACCATAAAGTAACATGCTTGCTACTCTGCTGAAAGCATGTATATACGAACAGCTGCATAGAATATGTACAGCATCCTAATTTAAATCCTGTTAATTTACTCCTATAGCAGTGTTCTTAAGCAGATCAATACCCTGAGCATCTCTTACTGCAGTTCTCTCAGGTGACAGAACTGCCAGGCTGGCTGTTATTCTCTATTAGATTTAGCTTGCTTTTGGAAAAAGGATGAATTTAATAAATTGCAAAAATTTCACACGCCACATGATGATGGCCAAAAGACACAGAACAAACCTCCAACATACCTACTTCAATCTTTGAAGCCAGCAAAACAGAAAGGATTTTACAAATTGTTAAACAGTTTGAAGCACTTACCGTCCTGAAGAAACCTGCTTAAGTGAACCAGCACTTTCAAACAACTGTGCTCTTGCAGCCACTCTGAAAATAAAAACACCACCTTATTTTATACTTAATTCATTGATTAAATACACAGACTAGGTCCACTTTTAACCATTTAAAGACACAGAAACTTTTTTTCTTTTTTAATTGTTTTAATTATTCACTTAGAGAAACTGGGGAAATTCAAAAGCTGGATTTAAGTCCCTATTGAGCAGCATTCTTAAGGACATAATGTAATTTGGGCCACCAACTTCCACATGCTCCAGTGCCTTCTGAGTCAGGAAGGGAAATCTCAATACCCTGTATTTAAAATAATATTCACAGATGGCCAATAGATATATTGGAAATGCTTTTACTAACACTCTGTCACTATCATGCTGGAACTCTAAGCTGCACAGGACTCTGTTTAAGGCACAGCAGACTGTGAAATGGCTACAGTGAACCCTTCCAGTTTAAAAAGTGAAGAGATTGAATAGAGCCCTGCAGTATTTGGGGAATTTCTTGGTGCCCTGAACATCTGGAAATTACTTGCTCATGAGGACAGAGATATTCTGGCTCAAAGTCAAGATTACAGTAAAGATCTTCTGACTTTGAAGTCTGTGCTAACAGCACTGAGAAACATTGCTAACCTAAATGTCAACAGACTAAATTTTGCTTAAAACTACCCTCCTCCCAACATCAAACCAAAACCTGTTAGAAATCAGCTATTTAATATGCAGCAACTGAAGAAATTTCAGAGCAGGAGTTTGGGTTTGGTTTTTTTTTTCCCCTTTCTCCAATTTTGGACTTAAATAAAATCCAATGATCTTCCTGACATTACAGCATGGACAGTAAGAAGCATTTCTATTCCTTTAAGCACTACATTTCAGAAGAACCAGGCATAATAAAACTAATAACTTTACAAAGATATGTTTTTCCATCATAGATCTCATCTCTAGTCTAATGAAGTCAATGGGAGTCTTTTAACTCACTTCAACAGATTTTGTGCAGTGCCTCCTTTGTTTACAGTTTAATGAAGCTAGATAGAAATTTCACACACAGAGAAATATTAAAATCAAGTATTCATGGCTGCTTCTTTAACTACTTATGCACCTCTCTGGGACCACTTTATAGCAGACAAGTATACTGTAACCAGACAAATTTCCAAAGGGCCTTGATGACTTACACAGATCCTGGTCTTTGATAGCCATTACTTGATGCAGTATCTAACCTTGCTCTCCTGCACACTTTGGGAGGCAAATCAGGGTTTGGTAGAGACTTTGGTGTATCTTTGGTATCTGCTGAAGATAAACTCTGTACAGATCCACTGCAGCTTTTGTTACCTAAAGAAAACAACAAAATACAGGGAACAGTAAATGTAATTTGAAGTTGTTCGTAACATGTGTAACATGCAAAACAAAGTTTTTGTTGTTGTTGTGTTATTTCTTTTATGTAAAAGACAAAATAGGCAGAGAAAGTACTTACTAAAAGAGAAGAAACAGCCTTTCAGACAGAAAGTGAGAAGAAAAGCAGCAGCAATAAGAATGCACAAATGACATTAAAATTGTGAAAGCTAAAAATGACATTGCACTTAAATAGCTAGACAGTAGTGTCACTAAAAATTAACAGTATAAACAACATTTATAAACTAGTACACTGCATGAAATTGTAGAAAAAAGTTATGTTGGAAGGCATCTCAGGGCGTAATCTAGTCTAAATTCTGTCTCAATGCAGCATCCACTATGAAATCAGGCCTCACTGATTTGTAAGAATTAGCATTTCAGTATCCACAGACGTTTATTGCATCTTAAAAAATATTTCAGACTGAATGATCGTGCTTTGCTTAAAACAACTGCTACTGTAACTTGATAAATCAAATCTACAGCTGTACAGACTGCATTGGACACACTAGAGTCCTCTTAATGAATATAAGGCATGGCCACATGTGTCTTTAAGATGACTTATGTGTGGATTGCTGCCTTGTTTGCATATACATTCTGCAAGACAACAACTGTGTTTCTTTATTCCCAAGAACAACAGATGCTTAATAATGCTTTAAAAGCTGTTATAAGGAGATCCCCCAAAAGGAAAATACCTATATTAGTAATATTGTTAATTTATCATATAATTCTATATTATAAATGTTAATTGTAATTATCAGTCAACATTATTAATACTGTTAATATAACACTAATTCATATATGGAAGTCTTATGAAAAAGCTTGTACTATCCATGGGAGGCTGAGAGGAGAGAACATTCTTAAACTTTTAGGGATCTGCACATAGCTACATATTTAGTCCACCTGTACTTGAATTACTTATACTATTGACAGCTCAGTGGCAAACCTGGCACTCAAGTCTACTGGAGCTCACTGTTTCAGTGCTGTTAAGTTTCATAATACAAACCACTACAAATATACTGACTTCAAGGTGTTTCTTCTAAAGTAACTTCCACATAGCTTCCAATATAGTGCAATATCACCTCATGTTCTCACAGAGATACTCAGAACAGCAAGGGTTCACAGGCATTCCAGCTAACAGCATTCAGCAGAACTGTCTACATTAATAAGCTATTTTTAAGCTTCCTCTGTCTGCAAGAAGCCTTGTTCACAGGCTTATACTGGACACAGGCTCAGCTTACATGCTTTGAGGATGTTCTTTGAAGCAGCATTCCTCTTTCACTGAACAGAAAACTGGCATCCTAACTTGTGCACTGAAATAGCTTCCTAAAGCTGGGTTTTTGCACATCATGTCTATATACAGCACTATTCAGCCATAATCTTCTGTTTAAGCTAACCTACTTGTAGCACTGGATAACAAACCATGCAAGTAGGGCAGATTGAAGCAGTCATTCCATCAGCAGGGTTTCAGACATAAAAGTTCAAACAAACAAACAGGCACACCAACAAGGAGTGACAAAACTGTTATTTACTAGATATGTTAAACCTGGTGCTTTTAAATTTAACTACTAGCTTTGATCAGTATCAGTCATTGCAAGGATTCATTTCTTTGACACAGTGACAGAACATAGCTACCGACTCTTCTTATACACCAGCAATCTTCTTACAAGATGGTCTAGATGAGGAGAGTACTCTAAATTCTGAGAAACGCTGGCATCTTTTAAGCTGTTTGAACAGTACAGATAACAAACAATGGAAACATCTCAGAAACCGTTTGAAAACTGAAAGAACATACGATAAAAAAAAAGCCTAATTAATACAATGAATTAACTACTGCTTTCAGATGCAGCTCTTGTTTTTTGATGCATCACAATAAACACAGATGTCCTAAAAGACCTTGGAAATTACCTTCAGCTGATGGAATTGATCTAAGGGAAGATGCTGAAGACCTTTTCAGCCCAGAGAGACTGCAAGAACTCTTTTTGGTCAGGTCTGTTGGTGGAGAGGCATTCTCTGGTCCAGTGACAGAAGCTATACTTTGGCAGTCTGACTCCACATCTGTTTTGGTTGCATCCTCCTTTGATGAGGATTCTGGACTTGTAGTCCAGAGGCCTGAACTCTTCTGGCCATTAGAAGAAGCAGGAGAGGCAATCCATGGAATCCCTCCTGATTTCTCCCTGGGCTGCGAGGGTGTGCATTTGGTGGTGCTGTTCTGCTCAGAGGAGTGGGAAGAGAGAGATTCAATGCTGCCCATGGGAGTGCTGTCTGGGCTACTGCTGTAGGAGTCACCTAGGGAGGAGTGAGGGGTGGGAGAGAAAGAAAAATAATTTACATTTTCTAATCATGTGCATTTCTCTCATGCCATCTTTAGCTCCTTGTACCTCACTTGTCACCAAACTCATTAATCTGTGGTTTCAGAGGCAATGAGTCAAGACAAAATACCTATTTAGTTACACTGTTTCTCACATATTCTTATCTTTAACCTGGGAGAGCTGCCTTTCCTGGCTTTTTCTTTACAGCAGATGAACACAGTGGGCTACAGGCTGAACTATCTCACATAGAATTTTGCATTTTAAAAGACTTGCCAGCAATACAGACAATCCTTAGAAAATTCAACATTGTCAAAGCTGCAAGACCTTTGTGGTGAATATCTTGCTGGATTTCCATGCTAAGGCAAATGTTGTGGTTGTTGTCCTACTTACAGTCTTAAATGCATGACTTTATTGCCAGCAGGCACAAGAACTAAGTTTTAGATCAGTTACCAAGCTGCTGAGTATCTCTGCAGTCTCTGTAAGACTAGTCCAAAGTCTGTCTATAGGTGGCCTATTTTCTGTCATCATCCGTTTCCTTTACTTACAATCCCATTCCTTTACTTACAATTTGAATGCTGAACATTTGATGAATTTCTTCAGTTAGATTGGTATTAGAGAAAGTCACCTATGTACACAAGAAAATCTTTGTACTCATCTTGTTTCCAGTAATCTTTTCCAATAAAAAGTAGAAATACCCTAATTTGCTGATGATATAAAGATAGAAACATACATCAGAACTGAGGAAGGACTGGCCTATAATATAGTGATGGCTGAATTATTTTGAAGACTGGATTTAGTCTATTCTAGTCATACACTGGTTTCTAGTAGGACTTTTTCCCAAAAGCTAAGAGAGACACATTTCACAAATTTCACAGGAAGCAGAAAACGTGTATTCTTCAACAACACTGTAGTTATAAGATGTACAGCTGCTTTTCCTCCAAATGTTACAATATCCTTGGCAACAAGTGGTCAGAATCACTCAGAATACTACAGATAAGGTCAGAAATACCAGTGCCTTGCACAATGAGTGGCTTTGACAACAGTAGTGACACTGGTACAGTACTGTGAAATATTCTGTCCTCTTCTAGCCATAATTCTGGTATTCCAGATTAGATTGTCCCTCATCTTGCCCCTTTACAGACCATTAGGCCCTTGAAAATGGAAAGACTGGTTGAAGTCTGAATTTGTCAGATGCATTTTCTATAATTTTCTATCATTCCCTACCATTTGAAACCTGTAGTTCATTTTCTTTTGCCATACAGAATTCCCTAATTTCCTGCAATACAGTTAGATGTCTGTGCTTCATTTAAATGATGACTTTAACCCACCTAGTAGTTCAGAAATTGCTCCTGCCAGAAGCTAAGGCTCTCTCTTGCCTGTCTCCAGCCACACCTAGAGATACTTGGCTGGGAGAATACCTCTGCTTATGCTTCAGCCTTTCAGGCACAACTGAGATCCTAACTGGAACTTGCATAAGCAAGTGCTGAGCTTGAGCTAATAAGCAAAGCACAAGTGGAATGCTCTTTGGTCAGACATAGTTCAAATTAAGCCACCAGCACAGGATGTGTCTGAATGAAGAATCACAGAATTACAGAACGGTTTGGGTTGGAAAGGACCTTAAGATCATCTGGTTCCAACCACCCTGCCATGAACTTGTATACGTTCTGCAAAATGCTGCGCATAAATGCCCCTTTTTTATGCTGGCATTCACTCACTAGTTACACAGTGAAAAACAGTTGAAACTTGTCCAATTTGTCCTCTGGGTAATGTAATTCATGATACCTCTGTAACTTCTTACTCAAGATCCCATGCAATTCACACTGGCAATCAATATGTTGGAAGCTACTGCTCTCATTTAGTATTTGAACTCTCACTGGCAGGAATCATGTACCATAAACATATGGAAATGCAGCACCTGTGCAGGAGTATACTGAGGATACATTTCCTAACATTACAGAATTAAGAATTACAACAGATCCTCAAGAACGGATGCACCTTAACTGTGGATTAATTTACTTTAAGAGTTTTATGTAAATCTCAATAGGGTACCAAGGGACTCAGAAGTTTTTCTGGAAGTCTGTTAGAGTGTAGAACTTTTAACAACTTAATCTTTGCTAAAGTTGTAATACTTCTTACTTGTATAGCCAATAAGTAAAAAAAATGGTGGTCCGCTAGATGAAAATGAATGAAGTGAAACTTTTTAATAGCCACATCTGGATGAAAATGAATAAGCATTCTAAGCAGCAATTAATTATAAACATAATTCCCTGCTGTTAAACAGTAAGCCATATGATATGGTTCACTGTTTCTCCCCAAAACATTAGCGTTTGTTTCGATTCCAGAAAACTCCCCAGGTTTCAGTGGTTTTGGCAACTAGGCAATGGCTGGCTTTGAACCAATGACCAGTTTCATGCATGTGAAAAAGGCCAAATAATGGTCCTGACCTTGACTGAGTTACATTTATTACAGGAGGAGAGCAAAGATTCTATTTACAGTTTCTCAACCTTACTAGTCATCTTACAAGCGAATGAGATTAACTTTGTACAACAAACGTTTGAGTTTCCAAGCAGACTACATTTAGGTTAGAATACAAAGGCTACTCTAAATGACTTTTGAACACTGTATGCAATACAAGGCTTTCCTAAAAGCAAACAGCCTTTCTCATCTGAGAGAAGCAAGGAATGTGGTCACTGAACAGTGTGGCTGTGACTCAAGAGAGGTTAAAAAGCTGATGAAACCCCACCCGTTATTTTTATAATTATTGGAATACAATACCTAATGGATATTACTCAGGAAAGTTAAAGACAAGACATAAAAAGGAAGATAACCAGTCAAGAAGAACAAACTTACTGTCAGGATCTGCAAGACACGGTGTATATCTTCCTTTAGGTTTACGTGGACCTGTGGAGAGACAAATTGCTCTTGTCCTTCTTGAACTCGATCGGGACTGAGGTTGGGGTAGAGGAATATTTGGGTCTGGTGCAGTGTGAAATATCTGCATAATTTAAAAAAAAAAGGGGACAAAATGACATAAACAAAGAGGTACTCTTACACTTGCATTATTAATTCGTTTTCCTTACCACTGTGCCTGAACTTAATCCCGTAATAGTCTCAAACATCAAAAAAGAATAAATTCACAGAATACTAGCTTTGCTCTAATCTCATTTTACAATGCAAAAACCAGAATACTGAGCTGTACTTAAAATTTATACAAGTTATATAAAAGTATTTGTTTAAATCGTTTTATTTTACAGCCTTTCTTAAGAAGTGATTAACAATCTAAATTGGAAAGCACACAATAAATGCTTATAACTTCTGCCCTAGAAGTAATATATTTTTAAAAATATTATAGTTGCATTTTTTATCTGCATTCATGTGAAAGCTTTTGTATGCCATAGAAATGTGTCATAGTCATAACTTATTAGAATCCAGTTTGTATTTCAGAAAACCACTTTATTTTGCGAAAAACTCAAGTTCGATGAGGAACATCTTTATGTTTGGAGCATCTCCTCATTTTTATCTTTTACATACCACTGGTCAATTTTGTGCTTTACTGCTGCAGAAATAACTCATTTTTTTAAGGGTATCTGACTACTGTAGTCTGATACAGGGACACATGAGGTTTTAAAGAACTCTTTGCAGATAAATTTGACAAGCCTGTCAGCAAGAGCAACGCAGAAGGTCCAATAATTTTCTTGATTTTCATTTGTATCATCTGTTCTGCAATATCCAAGACACATGCAGCAGAGACCCTAAAAATCTGTTTGTAAATACTACTGCTGTGGAGGATGACCAAAGAAAAACGTATGGCCAGAAGATATGCAGGTTTTAATTTCAGATCTTTCTCACTTATTCATCCTAGTGTAGACTTTAAACTCTACTGAAAACCTCTTATGGCATTCTGTGGAAGGAAGTGGAATTCTGTGTAATGGAGATGAGGTTTTACAAAGACAGATTGCCTGAATAAGCTACTGAAGGAATAAGAAGTGTCCAATCTCCACAGGACCAAGTGTTGTAGGCTAAATACCATGCAAGGCCAAAATACATCTCCACAAGGATTTCTGGACCCTCTCTCAATAGGGCACTCCCAGAAATGGATGAAGTGAGCAATGAAAAGATACCTCTATGCCATTCACAGAAGTGGAAGAAAGGAAATACACTTCCACGGTAGAAAATACTTTAATGGATGTCTTGAAATGCTCTTGAAGTACATTAATACTGTATTAGGTATTAGTGAGTAGGATATCAATAAAAAAAAATAAATGTCTATAGACAGAGAAACAGAGCAAGGGTGATTTTGATTTTGCAGCCATGGTCTTTGTATTGAATGAGCTTGTAATCTTCTGGAGGAGAAATTCAGTGTTGGAAATCCATAATACATGTATTTTGGAGTTACAGCCAAGGAGGCTATATGTATCATACCAATTCTGAGGAGTCCCTAAGAAATAAAACTGATGATACTAAGCAGTACTGTCAGTACTTACTGACCAACCAGTGCAGGGGAACCTGGTATTGACCAGGAACTACCCCTTAGCTGAGTAATGTAAAATGGAAGAAACACAAATGTTTTTCCCTTTGTTTTGTTAGTCATGTGACAGATAATATACATCGATAAAAGATCCCCAAAATAGAATTTCTTTTGATGATCAAGAGGTCTTGACTGTTCTGCTAAGTTCTGAAATCAAGCAATTAAAATAAAATGAAATAAACCAAAATAAAATAAAATAAAATAAAAATTAAGGAGACTTTTCAGTGAATCTGGTACCTGCAATGGTAGTGACTGAAAGTAAGTTTAAGATTTCACAGATTTTCTCAAGCCCTGAAGCAGTTCTTACTCAATGTTAAAGGAAAGAGTTTGAGATGGACCTTTGCTGTAAATGATCTCTTTGGGGAAAATAAAATAAACAGATGTGCCTTTCTTCAAAGCAGAAGAGGATCTAGAGAGAGTTGAAGGTTCCAGATTATTTAGAAACTTCTAAATCACACAGATATGATGGGCACAAAACCTGTAACTAGGAATAAAAAACCTTACCTAAGATACATTATTTCTTCCTTCAGCTTTTTTACTTTTCATTTAGTATCTAAACTAAGGAAAAATGACACAATGCATGGAAATGTGGGATTCTGCTGGGGATCCATAGTGATGCTGCCTCTGAAAAGAGGAACTGACGATCATTGGGGTTTCATGGTTTTAGGAGGGAGTAGATGTTTACTGTGCACTTGGTGTATTCCCAAATGACAGAAATGGTCTGAAAGACTCTGGCCTGATGCACTCAGGGGAGAATCCATGCATTTACCCAGAGTTAACCTTCATACACTGCTAGCATGAGAGAAATTGAAGTGCTTGGAGGCAATTTATGACCTTCTCATTCTGCTTTTTGATGTAATGACACAGAGAGCTACAGAAAGCAACTGAAGATTCAGAGCAAGTCCTTCAAAGCATGGAAGATTATACCCTGTACCTTGCACAGTGACAAAAGACTTGCCAGGAACACAGACCCATAGCACGGGGTGGGAAGAAGGTATTCTTTCTATCAATGACTTTCTACAAATGCTGTTATTCTTAAGAACTTAATGATGGTAACGAAAATAAGATCTTAGTTCCACTTCACAAAACAGATAATGTCTTTCTACCTTTTCATAATGCTCTATCAGAATTTCAACGACGATATTCTGAAACTTAATGTTCATCATAGCAGCCACGGTTTCTTCTTGGGCTCTCATCAGAGTTGGTCCAAAGATAACACCAAGGTTGGATACAGTCATTAGATTTTGCTGACTGTGTAATGATACCCTTTAAATGAACACAAACAATATGCAATTAAATTGTGCTAAACTGCAATTCCAACAGGCAAAACCCCGTTAATGCTACTTCTTTAACAAGATCCCAAGTTCTCACCTCCCCTTTAAAAAATTTTTTTAAAACTTTTACTTCTACTAGAGTCAGAATATGGTGTAGTACAACAATTATATTTCCACTAAGGCTCCCATACTGCAATAACTTAATAGATAATGAGCACGTCTTTCTGGAGTAAGTGTGTGAGTTCCTGACATAATTGACAGGGAAAAGCAAATATCTTTCGAGGTCTCTACAGAATGATCCAGACCATCTAAAGTTTAGGAGTCTTCGGGTAGGCACCTATCCCTCTCTAATGATTATGCAGGAGCTTAAACACTTGACAGTGGGTTTACTGAAAACACTATGTAGTAGCAGAGGTCAACAATATACATCAGCTTCCATGTAAAGGAACGAAACTTAGTTACTGAAAGCACTGAAGTGCAATAGCATCTCTTTACTAATATCTTGAAAACGTGATCAACGGGGTCAGGGATATCACTGTTTTGGTGGTACAGATTACGTGAGATGATCATAACGACACCTTCTGGCTTTAAAATATAATAACCTTTTACTTCCGTATATTCCGTTATTGCTTACTCTACCTCTTCTGTCATTTTTCTTTTTAACGTAGAGTTCAGAAACTTAGTTTTCCCAATAATATATCAAGTAATAAAATGAAACCCATCAATCAGTAATCCTCAGTGCCCTCTTCTCTCCTTATGAATAAGATTTGCCAAATAAAAAATGTATCATCTTAAATCCTTCAAAATAACTGCCAGTGATTCCCAAGTCACAGCTGCCCTCTTGCCTCATGTCTGAGAAATATCAGGCCAAGTAAAGATTTTATAATTACATTAATGCTTAATTATAGTGAATCTGCTAACAGAATCAGTTATTGAGGCACTTATTCACACTTCTGCTATCACTGTCAAGTAGAGCCTTTCTGGCCATTTACTATATAATTAAAATAACTCTTGTACCATTTAAAATTAAGAAGCAGTAGTATCTATAAGATACTGGAAACTAGCAGGTAGGAGCAAACTATATCTTCTGTTTTCTCTGTAACAGACCTTACGTTTGGCTTAGGTGAGTAAAGGGTGGTGGGAAGACCGTTAGTATTTTAATGGAAACAGAATTTTTAATTACTCAGCTCTAGGCTTGTTAGAAAAATCTAAAAAAAACCCCAAACCCTTTGCAATGTTACTCTGCTTTGTGCTGCACAGTAACTGTTAAGGTCTCTTACACAAACATAGTCTTATAGCATAAAAGAGAAAGCAGTGTTTGTCCTGTGTTTGGGTTTCCTTGGTTACAAATTTGGTAGCTTGTTAATAAAAGGAATGGTGACTTTAATAACATTGTAACCAAAAAGGACTTTTTACAATGCATTTCAAAGACTCAATTTCTTGCAAAAGAGAAAAACCCCATGCCTACAAATGGATTATTTTGAAAGCCAATTTCCCCTGACCTAGTCTTACTGTTGCTGGGCTACTGAATAGACATAGGCCAAGATAATCATGCATTTTAGGTAGCTGTAAGGCATTCATTAAGGTGCAGTTGCTTTCTCCTCAAAATCTCTTTCTTTTGGTAATATCCTCAGTTAATTTTTGATGCTGACAAATTGCAGAATCCTGATTATCCACCTTAGCAAAGTACGGTGTTATTAAATCACACCAAAGAAAAAATATTCTTTAAATTAGACAGGTAATTTGACTAGGAACTTTTAAAAACAAAAAATTAGTTACCTATGTGAAAACAACAACACACTTCCTGTGTCTGTCTAGCTGCTGACTGAGTATATATTCATGCAGATTCACCTCTGCAAGGTGCTTTTCAGGATTTGCTGGTTTTGTTTGGTTGTTTGGTTTTAGTATGACCTACATCCCACATCATCTAGATCATATTTAATTTTGCACAGTGACACAAAAGTCAAGGTAGGCAGAGAGGTAAAGACCTTAAGACATAAACCAAGAAAAAAACACTATTATCCCTATTTTGTAACCCATAGTTATAAGGTATACAGTATTTTCACCTAGACACAAAAGCATACATAAAGAACTGAATAGTTAAAAGAAATACAGGGAAAGGATGCATAATTTGAAACTGTATTTAAAAAAAAAAGAATGAAGAAACAGGAGGCTAGTTTGCTTTGGGTTTTTTTTCCGTATTTTCCCATTTTCATAAATGAGGCACTTCATCTGCCATTTGTTCCTTGAAAAATCTGACACAGTGGTAGGAAAAAGATGAGGAAGGAAGATAACTAATACACTCAAGAGACTAATTTTGAATTCAGTCTCATTAGATTTGCTAGCATAAACACCAGCTGGCAAATTATATACAGAGAAATAAAAAGGGATGAGTTGAACGCTGGAAAGAAAAGAATGGAAAAATTTCAGTATAAAACCATAAGATTACATTTGTTGGAAATGAGAATCACATCAAAGAGAAAATAAGCAAGACTTAGAGAACAATTAAAGAAGGGAATACTGCAGGCATGTTCTTCCCTGGAAATGCATTCGTGATCACATTAGGAAAAAAGAGGACAGGAAAAGAGGTCAAGAAAGAAATGCCTGTCTATAACTGATTCTGCCTACAAATAAGTCAGTTCTACATACACATATTTCTAATTTTGGGGCTTCCAGACTAGCAGCTTTTACAGTAATCATTAATCCCTCGTTAAATGTTTTAACTTCTAGCAAGTTAGCAGTAGATGTTGTAATTTTAACTAATCAAACAACCCTGTGAGTAATGAGAGTTTTGAAACATACTTTCATCTGGTTCTCTGGGTTACCCCACGTACAAGACACAAGGTCTGCCTAACCAGTTTTTGCAATGGAAACACTCAGAGTAGCTCACTATCATGTTAGTTCTTCAGGGGCTAATGACATGAAGGGCCAAATATTATTTTTTAGAGCTAAATTCCTATCAAGGCAGTCTGCAAAGTTCTCAGAGGAAGCAAAACTGCTCCACTGTAGACAGCTTACTGCAGGCTGTGGCTCAAGCTGTGATCAGAAAAGAATTGCTGGGATGTAATGAATGGAATGAAAACAATATGTCTTCTACATATTTCAGTCATGTGGGCCTTATCTGAACAACTGATGCTTCATTATTCACATTCCCAGATCACTGGTAAATGTACAAGTATATAGCACCAGAAAGAATAATACATATTAAAAAGTATTCAACAAATACCAATGAAAACTGACCAACGATTTACTAAAATGTACATGAAAAACATTTGAGGCAGAAACAGAATAAATTATAATGTAAGAATAGTGTGGAATCATAGGTAGTGACATAGAGAGATGTAATAGAATAAAACCGTGTCTTTTTTATCTCACAGCACATGCTAAGGTAATTCAGTGAAGAAAAAAGATCATCAGTTCAAAGAAGTGCAAAATCTTCTCCATCTGACATTTAATTAATACTCACAGAAACTGGTGAAAACCCCCACACGGGGTTTGGACATTTAGGCAGATCAGAAAAGTATAAATAATAATACTTCAAATTAACACTTCCAAATGATACTACAATTCAGAGGAGTTAGGAAAATAAGCTCAAACATGAAGGACAAGTGAATTGTTCTCTGTTTCTGATAAAGTGTGGGACCTTGAGTCAGATTCAAAGCAGTGTTTTCTAACAATCTCAGCATAGTTTTAGATGTTTCTTAAATATAATTAGTGACAATTCCTGTAGTAAGTAGGAATGTGAATGAAAACACTGAGTGGGTTTACTCTATAAACACAGTTGGTCATCTTGGTGATTCTTCATGGTAGGTTGGTTTTTTTTCTGTTTCTTTGGTGAGTATTCTTGAGATATGTTGAGAACAGCATTTTAGAAATTAAATGCAATTTCAAGTGGCATTGTTTCAACACAGAGACTAGTTTAAGCAATACCGACAAATTCAAAACAGAAATAATCACATCTTACAATAATGGCAAAGAGAAAAATAAAAAAGAATTACTTGACCAAGTGCTTGATAAGGATGTCCAGCATCTCTCTGTTCTTCTCTGGTAACTTATGCACAAGTGCATGCACTGCCTCAACTCTGTAGTTCTGATCATCTGACTCTATTAAACAGAAAACAAATATTGTTGATAAATCAGAACATGTGCTAAGATGTGACTACAAATGTCACCAATGCCAATGCATGCTAGTACACACATGCATTATAAGGAGCCAAACAAAATCAGGCTTTAAAATCATGACAACAGTTTGATTATACTTCGTACAACATTCTGAAATTTGTATTTCAAGTAACTTGTCAAAAGCAGTTACCACAAATACTGGAACCAACAAAAGACTAGTAACTGAAGAGATTAAGGGTTAGAAATAATACTACTTTATTTATTACTTTACTTACTAACAGCAACAATGAAATCTTTGTGCAGCTTGAAAGTCATCAGTGGTTCTGAAAGACACCTGGTTGTAAAAAACAATATTAAAAGAACATTTAAAAAGCATTACTCAAAGTCTTTTTAAGTTTTATGGGTGTGATTATGATAGCCCTCAGCATCTGCACAATGTGTATTCACTGATGGTTGGTTACAATTAGCATATAACTTAGTCATGCACATAGTCTGAAAATTTGAATTGAAGCTGGTGTCATCATGTAGGTTAGTAAGGGAAGTTAGACTACGGCACAGAGACTGTTTTCTGGTTTCCATACTGCAGAAGTGTAATAAATACAGCTGCTTAACGTGGTAAGGTAGACTGCAAAAACAATCTTTTGCCCAATGTCCTGGGTTCAGCAGTAGCAGTCACGTTTCTCCTTCTTGGTAGCTGGTGCAGTGCAGTGTTTTGACTTTCGGCCTGGGAACAGAGCTGATAGCGATGTTTTGGTTTGGCCAAGGACTTTGTGAGCCTCATGCTCTGCCAGGGAGGAGGGGAAGCCAGGAGGAAGCAGAGACAGGACACCTGACCCAAACTGACCAAAGAGGTATTCCATACCACAGCACGTCATGCCCAGGATGTAACTGGGAGTTAGCCGGAAGGGCTGGGAGACTGCAGGGTTGGAGGAGGTATCGGTCAGAGCTTGGTCGGGCTGAGGGGGGCGAGTTATCGGTCGGCTGGTGCTGAGGTGTTGTATTCTCTTCCCTTGTTATTTCCTTTATCATTGTTATTATTGGTGGTAGCAGTAGTGATTTGTGTTATACCTTAGTTACTAAACTGTTCTTATCTCAACCCGTGGGAGTTGCATTCTTTTCTATTCTCCTCTCTGTCCCTCCGGGAGCAGGGGGAGGGCAAGAAAGGGGGGGAAGTGAGCGAACGAATTACCTGACTGGGTTTAAACCACAACACCCAAGAAAGGCAAAACCATGATGAAATCTGGGACTGAAATTCTGATCTGGGAGACCTTAGAAGAGTCATCTCTGAAAGGCAGACTGTGAATTGCCTTACTTGCTACTGCTAGCTCATGCAATTTCACAAACACAGTACATACAGTGATTTATGCTTCTGAATATGTATTATAAATGTCTTCAACCAAAGCCAGCCTTTTCTGTGAAGTGTACATTGGCATTCCACTATAAATCCTAGGCATGTTTTCCAGATTGAATAGGGATTTCTAATGCTGCCTTCTGTTACGTAACCTGTTTAGGAAATCTAGATTTTTAGAAGGCATAGAACACCCATCATCTAGATTTGATACTTTTTATTATGTTTCTTTTGAATATTGTAAATTGAGACCCATAACAAAATTCTCTTGGAAGTATCACGATCCTTGAAAATTCTGTCTCATTACCAAAAATCTTCAGAAAAAAATGACAGTGCGCGAGGGACACTGGGACACTGTGTTTGTGAAGACACCAACAGCACAGGATAAAGCCCTGTGCTTTTGCAGAGATTTTTATTCTGCTCCAACAATGATGATATGAAACCTCACGGTACACAGCTTAAGGGTTTCAGAAAAGAAAGATTGAGCACAACATGCTTTGCTGTTAACGTAGAAAATGTTAAATAAAAACATGCAATTAATTAACTTCTGCCAAATTGAGGGCTATATAAGCCATAAGTATCTTAACAAGGCAGAGAGTGTGACAAATTTTAGATTTATTATTACGGGCAATCATGGGGATATTAGGCAAGATAATAATATACTTAATTATTACCATGCTAAAATGTAATATGGTATTAATAAGCAAAAGATCAACGGGCCAGAAAAAGAATACTGAGATTTGTGTAGCTTCACACTTACCTGAGGTAGTTTTTTAGTCCACTGGTTATTGTTTTATTGTCCCAAAGTTCCATATCAATATCCATATCAGGGGGAGATTTAGGGGCTGGTAGAAATTTGAATTGTGATTGTGTTATAGTTTGACTAACACGCTAACTAGAAAAGCGACAAAACAGAAGCTAATAAGTCATTTAGCTCATGTGATTACTTAGTAGCTGGATTAACTACCAACCTGATCAATTTGAATCTTTTAATCTCTGTCAAAGTATTGATAAAAATGCATTTAGCACTCATTTAGCATCTGTAAGGTAACTATATGCGTTATATCAAAGTGTTAAGTAAGCCAAAGCCAACAGAGAATTACTAATTAGCTTAGACATTCAAACACAGGCATCAGAGAGCCCAATTAGCACGGAAAGTGAAAGACTGAAACAACTGTCTATTAAACTGAGCTATGCTGTGTTACAGTACTAAGCTCTGGAACACTTCTGAAATACACCAAATATGCAGCAATAAATAGAAGTTTAAAACTTAACAGAGAACTGTATTTTAGTAGTAATTTGCTCATGTATATCAATGATAACATGCAGAAATCAAGTACTAATGCACACAAGAAACTAGTTAGACGAGTCACTCATTTTAAGAAAGCAAACTCAATTTAGAGGCAGTAAGTGTCAAATTCAGTTCTGAGCACAGCAGTTAAGGCAAAAGGGACCACAGTGCACACACTGCATAACTGATAAACGGTCACATCAGATACTTACAAAATATGGTGTTCATCAGCTTTTGCACCTTGGAGTTTACACCACCTATTCTGTACAGCCCCAGGATTGTAATACCTACATTGGGAAAACAATGAAAATACGGCGATGCCTCCTTTGTGTATGTTTTCAAAACATCTGAATGTATACATGGAAAGTTGTACAATTAAATTCTCGAGTACTGCTTCCCTACTGAATTCTCTTCTGGGTTACTAACGAACGCATTCCACTGAATCCATACCATAGTATACATTATCCATAACTTTACATGAATAGAAAGTCATTTAGAAATGACCCAATATCCATAAGGAGATAGCTGGGAAAAGTGAAAAATGGAAAAAAAAAAAAAGCAGTCCTAAAACACATTACATGTCGACAAATTTATTTTACCTAGACTTCAGTGGAATTACTATGTGCCTGCATGGGCTTAGACCATGATCCCTTCCAATTAAGATCTGATTGACATTTATAGGAGAAATGACTGTACCCAAAATAAAAACATACACTGTATACTGCTGCAACAGTGCAGTTGAAAATGTAAATATTCTGCATAGATCCAGTGCAAAATGGAGACAGACAAGTCCCAATTTACTCATAAGTTTCAATTGCTGGGGGTTAATAGCACAGGTACTAATAAAGTTTAAAGTCTAACGTTCACAACACAGTATTTCAGTATTCCACTGATAATTTTACTATTTTTAACTGCCTTTTAAAATCAGCAGGATTTAAGTCTTCCCTCTTCCCCACTTCAAGTCTTATCATTTAAAAACTGTTCACTTTTCCTTTGAAAACAAAATTCCAAAGTCTGATCTCACATAACATAGGTGTTTTGTTTTGAAACCCCCCAAGAAAAACTCGCAAGCTCTGAGTCAGCAGTGACTCAAAAACTATATAACATTATTACCTGAGAAACTGAATTCCTGTTGAGCTCAGTGTCGCATAAAGAGACCACCCAGTTTTTGGATTAGAAGAGAGCTGCATTGTGACAGTCCAGTGCATGGACAGAGAAAGGTTACCTCTTTTTATGACATAAAAGCCATACCTCTTCATTTGGAAGGGGATAATTAAAAACCTGCTGTGAGTTGTAAGACATCACTTCATCATTACAGTGATTATTGTTCTGTTTTCCTGCTACCAAAAAATGAGTGCCTAAACATTTTTAAAAAAGAGATAAACCATGTGCAAAAAGAGTGAATAAAATGATGGGAATTATGTTTTGCAAAGAAACGTGCCAGCAGAGAGTACTGATGGCACTTTTTGGCCTTCTGTTTTCATGCCAACAACCAAAGTTGGGAGCTGAGGCTCCCTACAGTATTACCATGAGAAAGCACAGCTCAGTGCACACAAATTAAAGATGTGTGCAACTGTGTATTAAGGTGTCTAAACAACATGAAATTACAGAAAATGTTTAAAACTCCCACTTAAACAGTATGTTAAAACTGTTGTTGGAACTTCTGGCAACATTTTAAAGTGCAAAGAACTCAAATAACATGAAAAGTACAAAACAAATGAAAGACACATTCTAAAGCAAGGCTATAAAACATGTAGAATTAATCAAAGCAATATTTACGAAAAAATACCCATAATAATCTAATACATATTTAATACACACCTCTTGTTTCTACAGCATGAATGCATTTCCTCACAAAGTTGAAACCTGCTTCATTTAAGAACACTATAAAAAGAAAAAAAGGTAATTATTTTCTTATGTATGAATACACAATTCTCAGTGTTTAGCTTCACATGTTAGTCAGGAAGGACTGATACGCATTTATCCATGAGATTATGATACTTATTCTGCAACAGTATTCTCATAGATAAAACCTTTCCACTCAAAACTCCAACTTTCAAATCATTAGAGGATCATTGCAAGAAGCATATTATACTGTCTTGTTCAGAAATCAGTAGATTGTCTACACATATATGTTTGTGTCAATATATTAATATGTTAATAACATATATGTGATAATATGATACTAATGTGCACTTGTAGCCCATAAAGCCAACTGTATGCTAGGCTTCACCACCAGCAGTGTGACCAGCAGGTTGAGGAAAGCGGTCCTAGCCCTCTCCTTCAAACTCATGAGACCTCCCTGAGTACTGAGCCCAGCTCTGGAGCCCCCAACACAAGAGGGACATGAAAAGCAAGTCCAGAGGATGCCACGAAGAGGATAAGGTGGCTAAAGCACCTCTACTATGAAGACAGGCTGAGAGGTTTGGGGTTGTTCAGCCTTGAGAAGGCTCTAGTAGACTTAACTGCAGTCTTTCAGTACCTAAAAGGTGCCTGCAAGAATGCTGAAGGGCCTTTAAAACACATGTAGGTTTAGAACAAGCGGGAACAGCTTTAAACTGAAAGAGAGTAGATTTAAATTAAATATTAAGAAGAAATACTTCACTGCAAGGGTGGTGAGACACTGGTACAGATTGCCAGAGAAGCTGTGGATGCCCCATCCCTGAAAGTGTTCAAGGCCAGGTTGGACAGGAACAACCTGTTCTAGTGTGAGGCATCCTTGCCCATGGCAGGGGGGTTGGAACTAGATGAGCTTTAAGGTCCCTGAGAACCCAAACCATTCTGAATCTAATACAAGTACACACATAAATCTCATAGTATCTTTCAGTACCCTCATTTTATTACTCAGTGTATATGTAAGAGGTGCATATAGACCTAAAGCCCAAAAGATGTGATGGGCTGAGCCCAGTTGTATGAGGTACAACAAGGCAGTGCCAGGTCCTGCACTAGGTCACAACAACCCCACGCAATGCTACAGGCTTGTGGAAGAGTGGCTGGAAAGTTGCTCAGCATAACAGGACCTGGGCCTGTTGGTCAACAGCAGCTGAACATGAGCCAGCTTGTGTCCAGGCAGCCAAGAAGGCTGACAGTATCCTGCCTTGTATGAGAAATAATGTGGCCAGCAGGACTAGGGAAGTGACTGTCCCCCTGTACTGGGCACCAGTGAGGCTGCATGTTGACTCCTATGTTCAGTTATGGGCTTCTCACTGTAAGAGATACATTGAGGTGCTGAATGTGTCCCAAGAATGGCAACAAAGCTGGTGAAGGGTCTGGAGCACAAGTCTGATAAGGATCAGTTGGGGGAACTGGGGTTGTTTAGCCTGAAGAAAAGGAGGCTCAGGGGAGATCTTATCACTCTTCTACAACTACCTGAAAGGAGGTTGTAGTGAAGCGGGCGTTGGTCTCTTGACACAAGTAACAAGCAATAGGAAAAGAGAAAATGGTCTCAAATTGTACTAAGGGAGGTTTAGATTGTGTATTAGGAAATGTCTTCACCAAAAAGGTTGTCAAGCACTGCAACAGTGTGCTCAGGAGTCACCATCCCTGGAGGGATTTAAAAGACATGTAGATGTCTTTTAGTCTTACTAAACCATGCAATTTGCAGACATCGTTTAGTAGACTTGGTAGTGCTAGGTTTACAGCTGGACTTGTTCTTTTCCAACCTAAATGATTCTATTATTCTATATAAGGATATTATTTCAACATAATGGCATGCTTTTTCATTTAGAAATATAGACTACTGATAGAAACTTTCTACAGATTTGTAAAATATACTGTAGCTTCAAAGCCAATCAAATTTTCTTCCAATTTATGTTTGATAGTAACACAAAAGTTGAAGGTTTTTTCACAGTTTACATAGCTTAGGATGTGCTTTTACGTAACCCAATCATGTAATACAACAAACAGTTATTTCATAGCAATAGAATGAAAATGTAAAATAATTAATCTCTCACACACGTTATGCAGAAACCTGGACATTACAGAAATCTACCAATATTTGGTAACTATGTAAGTAAAGAACTTACTTTCTTCCTTCTTGCTAATAATGGCTGGCAGGGTGTAGATCTGTAGACAGAAAAAAAAGCAGCAAGTCAATATTTGTGCTGTAAATTCTTTACTGCCAGGTTTGTTGGTAGTTGCAACAAGCTGTGAATTAGCTTGCCTCTAGGGAAATGCCAGCCTTGCCTTTCATCTTCTCCTGATATTGAAACCCCTAGCACTCACCCAGGTTAAAGGTCCTGTGATAGGACAATCATCTAAAATGTGTTAGAAGTCAGATTTGCAGACTCCCAAATAGTCTAAAACTCAGTACAAGTACTGATCTAATTTCTGTACCGTTTCAGTCAAGCAAGGCGCTTGTAGAAACAATTTTCTGTCTCCTAAAAGCAATCAACCATTTTTTCCCCCCCTTTGATACAGGTCTGACATCACCCTCATTCAGTGACTATTTTAAGAGCACACTAATAATGGGAAGAAATTTGACTGTCTCTTAGTAGCTTTCAACACAGTTTTATGCTCTCCGCAGCGCCTTTCAAGATGGTGCTAATTGTTTACTCCATGACACTGCCCAAAAGTGTCTTTACCAGGGCAGAAACTACTGGTTCACAAATGTTATCTGAACCATCAATCATATTAGGCAACATGCTATCCTGTTAAACATTGAATATCCCAACATAAAATATTTAAAGGCTTAAATTCACTAAGAGTCCTTCTTTTCTATCTACCATAACTCTACTTGCAATAGTGTCTCACAAAGAACAGAACTGAATTTGCCTATGAATAGGCATACTAGCTTCTTTCTTTAATAGGTGTGCCACAAAACTGTTAAAGGCAAAGAAAATGAAAAAAATATCCTTACTGGTTCCTTTCCATCCATAGCTTCGAGCCAAAGTTTTCGGTTAGATTCCGAAAAAGCCTGCAGTGTGATGATTCCAGGTCTGTCAAAAACATACACTGATGTTACTGATTTCTTTTTCTCAAACAGTATCCAAAGTCAGAATCCAAATACATATTGACATGAAGTGAATACATGTAAGACAGAGAGAAGTCAGAGAAAGATGAAAGCTTCTGACACAACAAATAACTTCGAGGTAGATTTAAGAACAGGTCTGTTTTTTAAAAGTTTGGTACTGCAACATGTAATTTTAGATGCTTAGTCTCCAGCGCTACAACCCTCTAATAGGTATGAGGTACCTCCATATTGCAAGATGAGTTATACACTTGCAAATGGGATCCCATACAACCAATTTTTTACTGGGGAGGCGCTCAGGGTGGAAACAACATCAAGTCTTGAATTTAAAATTAGTTCAAATGTAATCATTATCACAGTCTTTCTGAATCTTCAGTATTCCAGTACTGTGTTTATATAAACTGGCTCACATTCTTAGTCATTACTGACATCAGTAATGGCCACTGCATTTTCTCAGGGGAAACTCGTTCTATCAACGTAACATTCAGAAGAGATGAATGTTGTCCTTGTATGTGAACTCCCACCAAATATTTCTAGGTATTTCATTGTCTATTTACCTTGCTGACTTGTACAAAAAGTCAGTACTTCCCTGCTGAATACCAAATTAATTATAAGAGTGAACTTTCCACCAGCCTGTGAAAGTCAGATCCTTACAATAATGACCTAGTAACTTTGTACTGTATTCCTGTTTTAACCTTCTGTCCAAGTTTCCAGAATGCCCATAACTTACAGGCCATGCAGATATAATCAATCAGAATGTTCAGAATGAGTAAGTAACATGTAAGAAGTGCCTGTAACTGTCTCTTTGATGAGAACTTGAAGAACTGCAGATGGAACTAATTTTTCTGTGTAGTTTTTTTGAACTGTGTATGTTCTAATAGAGTAAGGAAGACAGAAGGGACAACACTAACTCGTGAATACATTACAATGGTATCACCACAGATGTGTCTAACAAATGCAATTCTACATCAAAAGAAACAACTACCAATTTCAAATATAACCTGTCAATCCAAGCTTAGGAGGTTTCAAGTGATCAATTAGTCTCAATATTTGTTCATATCAAATTTCTACTTCTTAAACCTGAACTCACTCAGAAATCTATTCTAGCAAAATAATGTATTATATTTGAAAGCACCAAAGTAGCCTCAAAATTATCATATAAATACAGCAGTTCTGAATGGAACTTAAAATGACAGCAGCAGTCACAAGATATTTCTTAAGAAAACGACTACAAAAGTCAGTCTATTTACCATATTTTAAGGGAAAAATTAATTCAATATTTCTTTTTATTCCCAAGCTTGGAAAAAATATGTTTACAAAGTTCTGTGTACACATACTTCAAATACAGAAAAGCTGCTTTAATCTACTTTTTATAATATCCAGGAATAAGTGAAAAATAAACTAACCAATGTGCAGAAGTAATTTTCAAATAAGAAAAATTATGTGCTATCATACATTTCTGAAGGAAATATATTGGCACAGAATATGCTTATTAAGCATTTATAAAAATACATCTGATCTGTTCTTAAAAGAGGGTAGTCAGCTGTGATACAGGTGATACTAGAATTCATCTTGTATCCGCATGCAAACATAATGTACGTCAGACAACACATTCTATGTAGTAGATTTTGTTAGAAAATAGGTTTGAACAAGTAAGAACCAAGTCCTGAGAGCCTAATTTGTCTGTATACAGGCCTATTGAGAAATGTGTTCCTATTACAGGAGTAATTATTAGATATTGGTTACAAGTGTTTCGATTTTTAATTATATTCAATTTGTTAAAACAATGAAAAAAGAATCAAACCTCTCAAATACTTCAATATCGAAACAGAAACGTTTGTCAATTGAATCTGTCTTTCTCCTGATGCAAGATTTTAGCTTGAATATTTCTGGTGAGCTTGTAACGAGGCCATTCTATAAAATAAAACAAAATAGGCACAGACAGTATGCTGATACACCTTGGCTTCACATCTTAAATTTAACTGTATGAACTGTCCAAAGAACATGTCTTAAAATAGGGATTAAAATTATTTAGGAACATATACAATAACTTTTCTGTATATAAAGTAAGACTACAGTTAACAGCTTTCTGACACATACTTGTTATTTAATCACTGTATTTCAGAAAACTCCCTAAATTCAAACTTTACAAACATCTGTATATCTAATATGATTATATGTTACATGTTAGAATGAGTATTATTACAGTAATCAAATGCTGAAACAGGTTGTCCACAGAGGTGGCCATAAGGGTTTCCATCCTTGGAGATATCTAAAACCTGACTGGACACAGGCCTTGATAACATGCTTTGGTTGACCCTGCACTGAGATTAGACTAGGTGATCTACAGACCTCCTTTCCAAACATCATCCATTCTATGATTCTGTGCAAACATGATTTGATTTCTTATGCATTTGGTACCACCACATTAGAGAATTTATTCTGCAGTTTATGTATAATTTAAAATAAATATTTTTATTTAAATACTTTATTTGTCTACACTATAAAAGACATGCACTGTTTCATGCATGAAAACAGCCTTATACTATGCTCACATTTTTTCTTTTAACAATTCCTGGATGCTTAACATAAAAGATGGAATATACAGTTCATGTATGTGCAACTCACCACTTTTCCACCAGATTTTGTTTCAGCTATACTCATTGTAAATGTTTTTGTTCCTTTATCGTAAGTGCAGTAATGTTTTACCCATGTAAATCCAAGAGGTCCTAGATTGAAGAGAGATAGTATTAAAAATAATTATTTTGGCATTTTATAGCTATTTTAGTTGGAGTTAGAGAAATAAAACATAACAGCATCCACATGTAGCCTATAAAAATCAAAAACTCCCCTAATTTTTTAATTTGGACATGTTATTCAGGTATAATTTTCAGATACTGCAGCTTTATAAGGTTGGCCAACAACGTTACAGCAGACTGATTTTCTTTGGCAACTGGAAGGGTAACAGCATTATACTAGTGTAAACAGGCAGGGGACAGGAAAGTTCCTGAGGACTTTTCTGCCTAGGAAATACAGCTGAAGATTTTATCATCCCAAGTAAAGCATGAGGATTCAGTATTACATCTTTTCTCTGAGGGAAACCTCCACAGAATTGGATGAAGTCTTGAAGTCAGAGTGCATTTACCTTTACTTTCAGCGTTCTTGTCAAGGCTAACAAATGCTTTTGGTAGTTATCAGAAGAAGGCTATTCTGTTACCTTAAAAGAGTGCGTAAAATGGCACTGTCTCAGAGGCAGATTTAATCTTACGTAGAGTTTTGCTCAGGCGCTGCTGTAAACCTGTAGTGAATCTGAACACACATTAAGCTCAATGCTATTTTAAATTTCATCTATAGCCTAGGTTAGATACAGCTATTTATAGTGTGCTCTTTTCTGTGAGGACATGAAGTAAATCCTCCCAACATTTCCATAATTCTCTCCACATTCTAGACCTAAAATTAAGATATCACACAATTTTCTGGAAAAAAAAATATGTTTAATGTAGCACACAGAGAACAAGATAAGCTCCCAGATTCTTACAGACACATCTGGAGGGCTAGTGCACTGCAGAGCACAGGATAATTCAGGTTTTTGCAGTGTGACTGCTCCACCTTGGGTCATACCATGAAGGAAAAGATTGTCTTTCCTCTTGGACAGCATTACACTTCAGAGGTTGGCATTCAAATACGTCCCTTCTCTGCAGAGCCATCACAAAGGTAGGTGCCAAGGCAAATGACACACCCATATATATGTGTATATGTATAATGCAAATTCAAAATAGGAAAGGACTGGATTATATTTTCAACCCACATTTGATTTTCCAATTTCAATGGGAGTTACTCATGGCAAAAATATGATACTGATTTTTTTTCAAATTACAGTATACTAGATCTTTTAATTCTTTTTAAAATTAAAGAGCTCTAAGTAAGAAACCAACAACCAAGTATTTCAATTTATTTTTTTTAACTTAAACAGTTCGATAAAAAGGAGAGGTTTTTAAAACTGAGTAGTTTTGCTATAGATACAATGCCATTGCCTTCTAAATGCAGATTTCCATAAAGGTGTACACAACATTGTACTGGTCATGCAAATCAGATGCCTGGCAATCCAGAAATGCAGATGTGGAAATTTACACGGTCTGTTATGCTGATTAGGAGAAAGCTCTCCGATCACCAGCATTCTGCAGGAAGGTCATGCCGGGAATTGAAAAGTCAACTGGTTACCCACCCGCAGGTTCTGTTCCTATATTTTAACTTATTTTCACTTAGGAAAACAATATATATAATTACTCTGAATCAATTTTTCCTCTCATGGTGTTTCATTAACTCTTTTAGCATATATAAGAAAGATGAGCACACTCAAAGAGGGTTTAGATGCATTTAGTCACCTGTTTTTCGTTAAAAAATTGTAGCTGACACCTGTGTTGTAGCTTTATGTCCATTACTCATGACTCTCCACCTGAATGAAAACAATTCATAGCCTACTGCCATTTTTTACTTTTAAACATATTTACTATCATACAGATCAGTAACAAATACACACAGGATTTACTCTCCAGAATAGCAAACATTTAACGCAGTTGCCCATAATTTGACAAGAGTCTATAGAATGATGGTTGTAGGAAAGTAAACTGGCACAACAAGGAAATTTATAGCTAGTGTCTTCCCTACTGACACAGAGATTATAGGCCCTGTTACCCTTACTCCAAAATAAATAAATGAACAAATTTATTTTCAGTAAGAGGATGTCAAGTTGGCCTCTCACTATTTAATGAAGCACAGCATGTGCTCAATGCTCCACTCCTTTTCTGCCTCCCCCATTAGCAGAGCTTAGTGTAATTTCCACTTAAAACAGGTTCCTTTTATCATTATTACTCAATTAAAAGGCCTTTTTAAAACTTTCAGTGCTACCGAAGGTAACTATGATAAGCAGTGAGGTTTCTTTCTTTAAGCTCACATCTGGAATAAAGATTAATTTAGTTATTTGAGAAATCAATTATTTATGGCTCCATGTAGTCTCTTCAATTATCATCTAAAATGGGAGCACTGAAGAAGAGATCCTCAAAACTGAGAAAAAGCGGGATCAAGTCTGACATAAGAATTCTATATCCAGATGCCTTCCATTTATTTTTAGATTGAGAAATCAGGTGCAAAGTTGTATTTAGTATTTTTGCATAAATGTGAAACTTGCACAAGCATGTACACACTATCTCAAAATACTGCTATATACTTTTCTAGTGTCAGGATGATTTCCACAGCAACTAGAAAAATGAATAAATATATAAATCTGGGCACCCCATGCAATAATAACTCTTACTCAGGATTTTGCATGATACTTCATGTGATGTATAGTTTCAAATTCTCTCATTTGACTTTTCACATATTTCCTGGTTCTGTTTTTATTCATAACATGATGTATTGTTAGGCTTTTCCAAGTAGTTTCAGACACTTAGGACAACTTTAGTTCTGATCCTTCATTTAGTTCGTCACTTCATTCTCATGTCTCATGAACTGTATAAAACACAGGCATATTTGCAGCTATTTTGAAGCTGCCAGACTGTATTTAGAAAATTTTTCTACTTCTTACACTTCTGTTTTCCATTATGTGCATGTTCATTCATTCTTAAGGTGGCTGGGTTAGTGGAGACCCCTGGTACAAGGAGAAGTTGCTCTTGCTGGGTGAACATAGGTCCTGTTCAGGCAGAGAAAGTACAGGAGACAGCAGGGTTTGACAGATAAAGACAAAGCAGAGTGCTGGGAGCTTGCAGTTCCTGCAGCAAAGCGTGGGGCAGCCAGCCAGAGCAGAGCTTCCTACCATCCTCTAGGGTGGGCAATAGCAGGCACCTACCCACAAAGCCCCAGGGGGCAGAGGCTGAGTTGCTTACAAGTGATTTGATCCCCATTCCATCTGACCATAGCTACTCTGACTTTTCGAAAAGTCACTTATTTTTCTTTTGAACTTCTCAATCATTTGGAAAGGAGCCAGAACAGGAGTCTGCAGACATTCAAACTTGTTGCTTTGTCCGGCTAACTAGACCATTTTCTTGCCCTCACCTTTGATGCTGTGCCTTTCAAATTCAGTTAAAAAGTACATCTGTTATACTCACGTTTCTCCTGCACATACAGATAGCCTTCCATTGTCCATTGACTTGGTGGTCTGTAATCCTGGTTGGCTGATTTCATTCTCTGCATGAGTCTCTCCACTTCCTGCCTAGTGCTTTCAAAGTTATTCCGGGTCTAACACCAAGAAAAGGAAACAAACATAAAAACATGTTATCTCATGAAAGTACTAATAATGCCAAGGAGACTGGTTTGGAGACCAACAGAAGTATTTACGAGAGACATAAAGAAAAAAAAAAGGCAATAAAGAATAATACCCTTCATTGCTCTAGAAGCATAGGAATAACATAGTAATGCAGAATTCAACTGAAGCACACAACTGTAATGCAAATATAGTTGAGAACAGTAACATTCCTCCTTCTGCAGGTCACTAAACTCAGAAAGGAGGTCATTTTATATCGTTAGGTATGCTTACACACTAAGGATACAGACAGACAGGCAAAGACAGACACCAGTCTTATAGCATAACCCCAAACCTGAAGTAGTGAGTCCCACTGAACCACTTGAAGTACACTGCATAAAACACTGATCTGGGGTCAATGCCAGGCTAATGTCCCTAAACAGCTGTGCTTTCTCCACATGTAGAAAAGACAAATGTACTGTGTATCTGTATCTGCAGTAATACCACAGCTGCTGATAACTCAGAATAGGCAGGTTACTGTCATGAACATTTTTTCACATGGCTATACAAACGCAACAATTAATTATAACATAAACACACTAGGAAAGAAAGAGGTCACAAGTGACCGAACTGTGCCAAAAGCATGAAAATACTGTGTCTGTCCTAAATATCACATGTGTAACCAGGCAAAGAATTACGTACAAAGTTGGGTTATTCATATTTGCTAATATCTATATGCGTGGACATGGAGATTTTTCCTAATGAATTCAGTGAGGCCAGGGTTTCCCCTCCACATACCTAGCATGGTATAGTGGAGGAGAACTGTTAAGAGGTGTCACAGGTTTGATAATACACATTAAATCTTCTTCCTGAAGAGAAAAATTTTTACTATAGGGGATGATAAAATTCTTCTCTGAATTGTTCACATTGTACCCTTAGAGTGAAATATTAGGTCAGACCAAACTTAAGAGAAGGCATTTTGAGACCTGCAAGAGGGATATGCCATTGAAGGGAAGAATGTCCCCATTTTGAGAACTTACCTCTGTCTAGTAAGTTTTTAATTACTACTTTTAAGCAGCCAGGACATTGAATCAGATTATAGAAAACAAAGCCAAATGGACATACAAAATACACCACCTGCCAGCTGGAACAGTGGAAGTGACAACAGGTCATATTAGGACATGGTAACCTGTTAAGTGCTGCTGGTCTACCACTACTCTGCTACTCCTACAGCTGTTACTCTCTTGCTCTAACAAGTAGGAGAATTTTAAGAGGAGAAACAGCAGTTCAGATCAATTGTTCTCTAAGACCTTAACACAGAATGCAATGGAAAGGAGCATTTTTGACAGCTACAACACACAGTCTGAACACAATTTTCCCTGAGCACTGTACTCAGTTTGACTTTCCCTACATAAATTGTTGCACTTCAGACTGAGGTAGGGTGGTGCTCTGAGAGACAAGTCAGTAGACAGCCCAGCTGGCAAAAGGAAGCTGTGGATCTAGATCTAAAGCCAGAATTCAAATTTCTGTGTAACAGCATCAGATGATTTACTATACCCCACTACATCTTTACACATGTGTTTCTATAATGTATAATAAAAATACCATAATACATTATTCCTTCTGCCTAAGTTCACATCTCCCTCTACCCTGTAGTCTATTTATACGTCAAGTTGTACTTTCATCATATTTAAGAAGAGACTAAGTTTAATTATTTCTTCATTAACACTGAATTTAAAAAAATCCTTTAATAATTCTGTTTCTTTAGATATACGCATAGAAGATACTGACACATTCTGACTTACAATGCCAGTTTGGGTCTGTGCTGTGGCCTCATGCTCCTACCAGAACTTGTCACATGAAAGTAAATAAAATTCATGGGCTGAAGCACATTTTTCACATTTTTACTGAAACTGTGATGTGCGACAACACTGACACCTTGTGCCTTTATCTGAAAGACTCAGTAGCAAACCAAAACTAGCAAATACCTAATTTAAAAGGACAGGAGGCTAAGATGCACAACAGGCAGAGAACATATGAATCATAGAAACATAGAATCGTTAGGGTTGGAAAGGACCTTAAGATCATCTAGTTCCAACCCCCTGCCATGGGCAGGGACACCTTACGCTAAATCATATCACCCAAGGCCTCGTCCAACCTGATCTTGAACACTGCCAGGGATGGAGCATTCACAGCCTCCCTGGGCAACCTATTCCAGTGCCTCACCACCCTAACAGGAAAGAATTTCCTTCTTATATCCAACCTAAACTTCCTCTGTTTAAGTTTTAACCCGTTATCCCTTGTCCTATCACTACAGTCCCTAATGAAGAGTCCCTCTCCAGCATCCCTATAGGCCCCCTTCAGATACTGGAAGGCTGCTAGGAGGTCTCCATGCAGCCTTCTCTTCTCCAGGCTGAACAGCTCCAACTTCCTCAGCCTGTCTTCATACAGGAGGTGCTCCAGTCCCCTAATTGTTCTTGTGGCCCTTCTCTGGACTTGTTCCAACAGTTCCATGTCCTTTTTACGTTGAGGACACCAGAACTGCACACAATACTCCAGGTGAGGTCTCACAAGAGCAGAGTAGAGGGGCAGGATCACCTCCTTCGACCTGCTGGTCACACTCCTTTTGATGCAGCCCAGGATACGGTTGGCTTTCTGGGCTGCAAGTGCACACTGAAGCCGGCTCATGTTCATTTTCTCATCAACCAACACCCCCAAGTCCTTCTCCGCAGGGCTGCTCTGAATCTCTTCTCTGCCCAACCTGTAGCTGTGCCTGGGATTGCTCCGACTGAGGTGTACGACCTTGCACTTGGCATGGTTAAACCTCATGAGGTTGGCATCAGCCCACCTCACAAGCGTGTCAAGGTCCCTCTGGATGGCATTCCTTCCCTCCAGCGTATCAAGCAAACCACACAGCTTGGTGTCATGGGCAAACTTGCTGAGGGCGCACTCAATCCCACTGCCCATGTCAGCGACGAAGGTGTTGAACAAGACCGGTCCCAACACCGATCCCTGAGGGACACCACTCGTTACTGGTATCCAGCTGGACATTGAGCCATTGACCACAACTCTTTGTGTGCGGCCATCCAGCCAGTTCTTTATCCACCGAGTGGTCCACCCATCAAATTGATGTCTCTCCAATTTAGAGACAAGGATGTCGTGTGGGACAGTGTCGAATGCTTTGCACAAGTCCAGGTAGATGACATCAACTGCTCTACCCCTGTCCAGCAGTTCTGTAGCCCCATCATAGAAGGCCACCAAATTGGTCAGGAAGGATTTCCCCTTAGTGCAGCCATGCTGGCTGTCACCAAGCACCTTGTTGATTTTCATGTGCCTTAGCATGCCTTCCAGGAGAATCTGCGCATTTGCATTTCAATCTAAAAGGAAAAGGTTAATCATCTAGAAGGATTTGACTTATTTCCTCAAGCACTGTTTTAAATGGGTTCTATACCTACATATGAACAATGGACATAAAAGGGGATGGGGCTATGGAGGTGTGCTGCACACACTTAATTGCAGCAAAACCTGGAAGAGTGCAGTACTTGTAGGAATGAGATCTACATTAACAACACTAGAGGCAATGCCATCTTCCAACTTTGAGCTAACACGCCTCTAATAGTAAGATGCTACAGTGAAAAACATATTTTATTTTTCAGTAAAGCACAAGGAATAGCAGTTGAGCACAGTAAGGTGCTCTTGTACTCCCAATTCTGTTTCATACTCCCTAAGTTCAGTAGCCAAGACAGTACCTACAAAAGCTGATGTAGCTTCTTTGACTCTAGTGAAGCTATACAAATTTCAATTAGGTATCTTTTCTTGAAAGAATAAAATGGAAAAGAAATGGAGTCACCACAAACATACAGTATTTGGAGCAAATGATAGAGTTCTTTCACTTTTTTTTAATGAATTTGTTCTGTACTTTGACATTACTTGTCATGAAAAATGTGGCTGGTCCATTATTAACATGCTGAACTTCACGTTTTGCTTTAAATGCAAATAATAGTGGCTCTAATGCAAATGGCTAATAAAGATGCTTTGTATCTACTTACCTGTATGTCTTTGGAAGTGTAACATTTGAGTTAACATTGAAATAAATATACAGTTGTATACAGCAGTTATGAGGAGTGAAAAAGTAGGTTGATTAAATGCATCTTTATTATTTCTGAAAACTATGGAATTCTGGGGCACGGTTCATCTTGTATGGCTCAAATTCAGACCAATCTACTGCAGAAGATCCACCTGCTCAGCTGAGAGTAACTCTCTACACAACTAACAGAACATTTCTTCAGGTGGAACTCAATGCTTGTGAGAGCTGGTCACCATGGAGGAAGGCCCCACCAATTCTTTGAGGCTCCAGAGAAGAGCAAGAGAATGACTTTCTATGTATGCTTCATATACAGTGGGAAGCTAGCATAAAAAGGACAAGCTTTTTGTAGCAATCTGAGATCTTAAAGAAACAAACTGCATCATTCTGTACCAACTGGAGCATTTCTGGGACATCCAGTCACTCCAGAAGACAGGCCTCACTCTCAAGAAAGCATTTACGCAGGTAAATTTACACATTAAGAGTTCCAATAAGGTGCTCTGAGACTACTTTAATATCCCAAAATTAAATGAGCTAAAAAAAAAAATTAAAAATAATAGTGTAAATACAAATCATCCTTACGTTCTGCAAATTGAACTGCAGTTGCTGCTTGTATGGTGCAAACTCCTGAGCCAGTTCATATCCTTCATGGTAAAATGTAAATAATCCTTGAAGAAAGGCCAAGAGCTGAAAAGGTAAAATTGAGAAGTATTATATATTTTTAACATGTGCTTTTAACACTGCATGACATGAAGATACACTAACTTATAAAAAATTAGTATTGCCTGAGATAGGAAAAGGTTCTCAGCAACTGCTGCACACTTTTTCTATTCAGATGCGTATTAGAAAACAAAAACTAAGGACAGTTGATTTACTACTTGTTTTCGGCAGCGAAATATTGCAAACTACCACCAAAACCCACTCTGTGTATTAGCTCCTGGAACACTCTTAGCTTTCATTATTTGCAATAGAAAAGCTTTGCTGAGCAATCCATGGTCAGACCTTAGGAGAGAGGTTCAACAAGCTTTTCCGTCATGAAGGTGCCATTCCCATAACAATTTAATTCACTGTCCTAGTCATTTTAACCAGAATTCCAGCTGGAGTCTTTGGTGCTGTGCATTTTCTAAGTTCATGCTTTCAGAGTTCAAGGTTTTTCTTTCTTCAAAGTATTTTTTCACTTTCTTCATACTAATTGCTATGGCCTATTTTCCACAAATGAGACTCCTGAAAGTATGTTTTGGACAGCTTAATACAACACAAGGAATCCAGACTAATTCTTCCTGTCAGCTGAAGTTTGTGCAGATCCAGTTGAAAATTCTTTTTAAAGTTTCCCTTAAAAAAAGCTGAAGTAGTAAAAAGTGCAAGTAGATTTTAGCTGTTGAATTAATGTACTCCTACAATCTATTAGTTTTAAAAACCTCCTAACTTACTCTGTTCTACAAAGCATTTTGACATTACTGTGTCATCTTACCTGCTATTAAATAACAAGCATTTAAATTTTTATTATGGATTGCTGTCTTTGTATCTGTAATTTAGCTTATAAAAAAAAGAAAAGGAAAACAACAAAAAAAGAGATATTAAGTGTATGTACAAAACCAAAAGCTGTAACAACAGGACAGATTTATCTCAGTATATTACAGCCACAGGAAAGCTAAGCATTTAGGCTAAGTAACAGGCTGTCCGGGCTGCCTCCTAACTCAGTAAAAAAAAACCACAGGTATTCAAGAACATAATTCTTTTTCCTTTTTCAAACTTCTCTCTCAGGATGGGATGAATGATCCAATGCAAACATTTATCTCTCTCTGTCGACTACTGAAGTAGCCTAGACTCAGGCAACAAAAATGCCATAATTCATATTCAATGCATTTTTCCTTGTGTTACCAGTACCATAGATTATTATAAGTGAAACAGCTTAAAAATGTAGCTTTTACTGTGTTTATATTTTCTTTAAATTTACACTCAGCCCTACTCGAGGAAATGTAGTTAAATTGTTCTGCCTCCCCCATCCCTACTACTCACTATGGTGCTAAGGTAACATGCCTATTTTCAGGAGAACAGCTAAACTAATGTTTTGCAATTTTAGAACCCCATCCATTTGGCATCGCAAGGCATTCCATACCTTCCAACGAGCAAACTTCCACAGCTTGGCAGAGGAGAGATCAAGGATGCAGCACTATGGGCAGATGAGCTAACATGATAACTTGCTGCAATCAGACCTGCGTCTTGCTCTCCCCTTCCTGCTCCTCCTCTCATTCCCCATTCAGCTTTGTCACACATCCTTGCACACCACAGAATCACAGAATGGTTTGGGTTGGAAGGGACTTCTGGAGATCACCTAGTCCACCCAAGCAGGGCCACCTAGAGGGGTTACAGAGGAACATGTCCAGGTGGGTTTTGAATGTCCCCAGAGAGGCAGACTCCACAACCTCCCTGGGCAGCCTGTGCCAGCTCTGGCACTGAGCCCTTCAGTGAGCATCTCTGCCCCAGAAGCCTGCTGTTCTGCTGCATTAGTAAGCTGAAGCAGTTCAAAGTCAATAGACCATCAGTGCTAGCAGAAATAGAAGCATGAAGGCATGCCTGGTAGAAGGACTTGGCCCTTGGTTTTTTACTGGTATTGCATGATCAGATAATCTGGCCTTGGGCAGAGATGATTAAAGCCCATGGCTACCCAGTAATTTGGTCACAAAACCTGAAGAACTGAGAAGATCCTTGGGTATAACAGCCACCTTTTATGGGGCCTCTACAATGGGTGTGAATTCCTGAACCACATCCCACCACTAAACAAACGGACATGAACACAACATGGTCAAACAAAGGGCTCCACAGATTGTGGAAACAGTCTCACCTTGACCTGATCATCTGTCCACCTGAAATCACTATCTCAACTAAGGACTTAGGCCTGAAAGTCTCTTACTGGTTATTCAATTGTTCAATTCTGAGGAGGGTCCAAATACAACAATTTATCTTAAAAAGCTCCAATTACATAGATAGAGTTCTATAATTTTAAGGTTTATAACGTATTTCTAGAAACAATTACATACAAGAAAGAATACTATTTTCCTTTTTCATTAATAAAGTATAAAATAAGTAAATAAATAATAACTAAAGCTCTGGCTCCAGCTGTGCAAAGCCTGTGCTTACAGTCTAGATTCATTTACTCATCAGTGTTCTCAACTACAGCTTCTTGAGATACAGCAGCTTAACTACTCCTGTGATTACTCTGACTTGGTTCAGTCAAAGGGACATGGTTTAACTTTTACTTGTAAGCAGAGGCCTGCTGCTAAACCCTTTCAGCTAAAGAAGCAATGGAGGAGTAATGAGTGCTCAGTGAAACTGCACCAGACCAGAATGTTAGAGCACACCAAAATTACAATCAAAGAACTAGTGGGAGAAAGTATGTCAGCTTATGCCTGAATTACAGATCACTTTAAAGGTCATTTCAGGAGAGTGTACTATAAACTGTTTAAATTTCAGCTTCAATACTTAAAGAATTTTCTACCACACAAAATTATTTTACAGAGCACAGAGAAATACCGAGAAAGAAAATATTTAACACAAGATGGCAGCAAAGCTGAATTTATCAGAAAGCAAAAAAACAGCAGCAAAAAAACCCTGAGAAAAATCTGAACGCATCTTGGTTAAAGTACTTCTTATGTATTCTGGCAGTTGTTCATTGGAGAGGATCTGGCCCTGAGGTTCTCTTGGTCAAATACTCTCTGAGCACTTTGAAAAAGAGGAATAAAAGAAAAGTAAAAATACACTTTAGCAAGTCCTAAACCAGCTTATTCAAGTTCTGTGTTGAAACAGACATTGAGGATGGTATTAGCTCCTATGAGCATGTCACTAGTGGTGGAAGGAACAGGGATCAGAAAATGCCCTGTACCCAATGGGCCTGTGTTATTAAGGCATCTTCATAACCACTTCCATCAGGGCAGGTACGACCATAGCATTGCACAGAAGAGAACTAAAAGCCAAAGACTTTTGCCCTAGGCTTATGCTCACATTGGGGTTTTCTTGTTGCTGGTGTTAGAAATGGTACTACTGCTAAAGGCAGGCTCATAATTTTAAGGAGATTAATATTAAATAATGAAGAGCAATAGCCTTTTTTCCTTTCAAGAAGACTTTCAGAATGTATTTTACAGTGGTCTTCACATGTAAAGAGGTGATTTGTTCCCCCAAACATCACATACAATGCCTGATGTGTTCATATTGACACTTTTTCGTTTCAACAAGTGCTTTACAGTTACTTCATTCTGAGTAGCTACTCAGCCACATCAAGAAAGAGGTCTGAACTCCACAATACAATGCTATTCAGTAACCCAGCACCACAAGGATTTCAACACAGAACCTGAAAGAAAATCCAACCACTTCTTGAGACTTTTATTTATTTTGATGTAGAGCTGGTGACCTCAAGTCTGCCTGGTCATTTCATTCTCACAGGAAGAAGACTGTAGTTAGGTTTTGGATAGGGGAGGAATTTGACCTTTGGCCTGCAGCACATCAGCCAGAAATCTCTATCTCCCTGGTTTCATTTTTTTTTTATAAGTAGATAGCATTTATTCATCAGATTGAAGTGATTGTAGTTAATAATGTAGAAAGCCCAAGGAGAAGAAATTGACTTTAATGTCCACAGTGCATGCAATTACACCAGGGTTTGTGGTTTTGTGTTTTTCTTTTGTTTTAAACAAGCACTTCTGGTCTTTTGCGATACTTAAGGACCACCCCTCACCTTTCATATAGTTCACTCCTTAGGAACCCTGGGCCCTGATTTCTATAGGCCAAGGAAGACCTGGCACTGCTGAGGGACAAAGTGGAGCTCCAGGAAGGCGTTTACATTTCTCTCAACAAGCATAACATCCTCAGAAAGTGGTGTTGGTTTAGACTAGCCTCTCTGGGCCCACAAAGACAAAGCCAAGATGAGAGATTATTGTCACTTACTATGCTTTGCTGTTTAACTTGCTGTAGATGTTAACACTATTTTGTCTTTGAGAAAAAGTTTCAACTAATGATCTGTATGAAAAGTTTTATGCCTTGGGTTTTTTCCCTTGGAAAAAGTCAGGATCTAGGAAGATCACAAATAGGCAGCTGTCAGTTACTCACAGTAGTACAAATCAGTGACTCCTTCAAACGAGATACAAAGAACAGCAGAGAAATCCACGGCCTGAGGAGCAGCTGCAAAAGTCTACTCCAAATATTGTAATTCTCTATTCAGAGTATGAGTCACTAGCATTGTGTACCTTAAAATCTCTCCCTGCTCTTCCCCAGGAGGAAACATACTCCACTGCTAGCAATTTTTACTGTCCTACTGTCCTAGGTGCAACCCACCTGTCAATTTTTGCTAGGCTACTTCTCCCACTCAGGTTCCCAGACCATTCTTACCCTTTGGCATAGACAAACTGAAAGATGCCGGAACAAGCTCTAGCAGATAATTTGTTTTTCAAGTTCTATTCCCATGTCATGAACTTATCCTTCTTCCACACGGGCATCACAAACTTCCCCTTCACTGCATTAATAGCCTTTCTTTTATTTAGTTAAACTCTCCTTCAAAGAGTCTACTAGTAATATGTCAGACAGTTATACAGAGACATAGCATTGAGCTGATAAACTGGAGGCATAATCAGCACACACACTAGAATGCCCCACAAGCAGCAGAGCTCCTGAGGAGAAACGTCTTAATAGACAGACCACCAGGCAGCTTCTAGCATCTGAGCATTTGTAGAGCACACAAAGAAAAATGAATAATACAGCAATTCTTTTGATTTGTGATTCTAAAGTGTTTGGCTTTGTCCTTATCTACTTGCATCTAGGAGCACATGCTCATACTTCCAACATCATTTACATGAACTCTGCATTTTTAGAAAGCTTATTTTGAAGACTTCATTTTTTAATTCTTTTGTTCTCATGGTATTGCTGATGTGTATCATAATCTACTTGTATACTTTGCTTTATACTTTTATTCTAACACACTGTATGCAACAGACTAGGAACAAAAAAAAAAAAATAAGAATTTTGAGGGCTCAAAATTTTATAACTGATGTTGCAATTTAAGCTCCATTTATATCCAGACTGCTTATAGAAAAAATCCCATCTGGAGCCAGAAGACACTGTCTGCAAGGGCTGTCATTACCCAGCCACCAGAGTACCCGTACCTTCCTCTGGAACACCAAACAATGACCTGTGCATAACAAACAGCATACTGGACGAAATGCCTACTGATGTGACACAGGATGCTAACTGATCCACTCAAAAGTAAATTTTATGCACTGGATGTGTACACCTGGTGACAAGAACACCCAGGCCCACGAGACTGAGCCTACCAGTAACCTCCCCTGCTTGCTTGCCCAGTATCAACACTGGTGAATTGATAAATCGCCCTCTCATTTTAGTAATTCATAGCTGCTGCTGTGATGGCTGACAATGTGGGGACAGCTCCTGGTCAAAAGGATAAAGCTCAGTGTGTCCAGATAATATATATAAAATCAAATCTATTTTTCCTCTCTGTGTAGCACATAGAATGAAAGATGCCCTATTTTAACTATATGGAATTGCACAGTAATATTTCCCTATATACAAAGTCTTCTAAATTTAGAAAGTTTCTATTACTTTAAAGGAGCATAAAATCTCCTATACCAGGGTCAGAGCTAGGTCAGAACTGCTAGATTTTTTCCAGGATGTGAGAGTTTCACAGAAGTAGACACAGACACACTCTGGATTAAACTGTGACAGGTAGAAAAATGTTCTTATTTAGAAATCTGAGCAAAGTTTTAGTCTCTAAGATTTGGCAGCTGTATGCCATAACGATAGGATTTCTGTAAGTACTGCTTGCTGAATCCAGGTTCATTAGTTTGCATCAATGTCAAACACTCGTTATACAACACATTTTCATCTCATGGATAAGAGACATCTGAGATGTTCTTCTTGGTGACACTTGGTGTTAGAGATGTAATTCAACCTGTTTCACAGTCATGAGTGCTGTTTCAGTTAGTTACAAGGAAGCTGGAAGATGGTGAGATGGTGTGGAAGGAGAGAAAAAGTTACACCTGCCATGTTCCTATTCCACAACTGATGCTCTGCTATGCTCAATACGCTTAATGGGAAGGGGCAGATGACATTGGAAGTTCTCTGTCAAGGGCGACAGGTACTAACTAAACAGGACAATTGGCAATCTAATCCTGTATGACATGAAGAGTAGTAATACTACAACTATTCTAGAGATTCAGAACAGCCCTGCAGAGAAAGACTTGGGGGCGTTAGTCAATGAGAAACTTAACAGGAGCTGGCAGTGTGTGCTTGTACCCAGAAAGCCAACCATATCCTGGGCTGCATAAGAAGGAGCATGACCAGCAGGTCGAAGGAGGTGATCCTGCCCCTGTACTATGCTCTTGTGAGACCTCACCTGGAGTATTGTGTGCAGTGCTGGTGTCCTCAACATAAAAAGGACATGGAACTGTTGGAAAAAGTCCAGAGGAGGGCCATGAGGATGATCAGGGGACTGGAGCACCTCCTGTATGAAGACAGGCTGAGAAAGTTGGGGCTGCTCAGCCTGGGGAAGAGAAGGCTGTGTGAAGACCTCATAGCAGCCTTCCAGTACCTGAAGGGGGCCTATAGGGATGCTGGGGAGGGACTCTTCATTAGGGACTGTAGTGATAGGACAAGGGTAACGGGTTAAAATTTAAACAGGGGAAGTTTAGATTGGATATAAGGAAGAAGTTCTTTACTGTAAGGGTGGTGAGGCACTGGAATGGGTTGCCCAGGGAGGTTGTGAATGCTCCATCCCTGGCGGTGTTCAAGGCCAGGTTGGACACAGCCTTGAGTGAGATGGTTTAGTGTGAGGTGTCCTTGCCCATGGCAGGGGGGTTGGAACTTGGTGATTTTAAGGTCCTTTCCAACCTGGACTTTTCTATGATTCTGTGATTCTTTAACTATGCCACAGAAATATGCTAGCACATCATACTGAAGAAGCTTTTGGTAATGACTGACCCAGAAGATAGCCTACGGGGTGGGGGTGTGTGGAAACCCAGTCCAGGAGAAAATCCAGATCTAAATATGGATTTTGAAACAGAACTCTTTTATGCATGTTAACGTATGCTTTAGTACATGTGCAAAGTAAACTAAAGACCAGTAAGTCCACCAACAAAATCTAAACTTACCTATTCTACAGAAAAAAATTATATTTCACTTTATTTTATGTGTAACTCAGAAAAATATATATGTACACTGTCTACATGGAATATTTAAATCCAAAAGGTGGCTCAGAATTTTAGCCATGAAGCCAAGGTATTAGGAAGCATCTATTATATGTTGCACAGACACAACATTACATATTTTTCCATTAAAATGTTATGCACACTCCAAGTGGTCAGACATTTCAACTGACAGTAGATATGAAGCTCTTACATTATCCTTTAATAAACATGGAAAGTGCCCAAGCCAATATCTTAATGTCTGCATATATACAAGCCAAGATCTTAATGTCTCTCTATACACAAACAACCTGCAATCACAACTTAAAGGGAGCAACCCAGATATTTTAAACTCAATTTTCAGCTTTAAATGCATACACTCTAAAGAAAATAAACCATAAAACTTACAGGTTCTACAAATTCAAATTTCTTTTTCTCTTGTACTTCTTGAATTTTAAAAACATATTCTAATGATGCTTCATAAAAGTTTTGATGTTCTCTGTCAATCTGTGTATCTGCCTAAAAGACAAAATGAAATATAGACAACATTAATTTACTCTCATGATTGATTTAAAAACAGATTTTGTCATTAACGAGCAGATCTTCCAAAAGATTACTTTACAAGCTTCATGGTCAGTTTTCTTCGTGAAAATTAGAATACCTACTTAAAATAGCTAAACATAAGTTTAAGAAACTAGCATCACACATTTTAGTCTCATGCCTTTTCTCCACTCCTTCTTAGTTTCCTCTTTATTTTTGCACTTTAATATTCTACTTTTTAAGATACCCTAGGGGGAAACATAGAAAGGCAGCAGCAGGAAATCTCTCCCTGGTATATGGCAAGCTTAGAGAAAGAAACAGAAGAGAGGATAGGAATTAAGGATGGACAAAAAGATAATTATTTCAATTGAAAAGTTTGACTATCACATGTACTAAAATTATATCTATTTCTGAGCTTCAAATACTTTCCCCAAAAGATATTTTCTTTCTTAAACAGACTGTCTTTAACAATGACATCTTGAAACTTACTGTTTCACAATATGAGTCTCATGCTCTTGGGATATAAATATATTTAAGTCCTTAACCTCATAAATCAATTATTTTTCATGTTTTAATTTTCAAATGCCAGAACCACAAGGCAATACTTGTCAGAAGTGCCTGACTAATAGCAACCAACAGGAAGATACAGTAACAAAACAACGTCTTCTGCCTAAATAGCTAAAGAATTAATTCTTATCAGCTGATAAAGTGTAACAGGCTTTTATCCTCAATTTAAACAATCCATAGGAGAAGAACCTAACAGACAAGTAGTGTAGTATGTGGATAATGCTTAAGGAAGAGATGCAGATTTAATTTTAATTCATCTTCCTTCATAACAAATCATTTTCTCAAGCAGATTTCTTTTGGGCTGCATTAGTTAGGCTTTGGTCTTAGGTCAGAAAGAAATTCTATCAAGTATCAACAACATGAGTAACACCAGTTCAGCTAGTTTTGACATATGTCAGTTAAAATATAGCAGTATATTTCTGTATATTCCCTAGTTCAACTCTGGCACTAAAAAAAAAAATCAAATAAACGAAAATTGGAAAAGCTAGATATTGTCTTCCCTTGACAGCAAACACTAAACCAGCAAATAGACCAGTGTTTTCATATTTTTAACAATACAAATGCAAAAAAGTCAGTGTTTCCCTTCAGACAGGACTTGGCTTACAATAGTACCATATATAATTAACATTGTTTCTTTAGTCAACAACATGCTACTACCATGATTTGGCTGCACAGACTCTTTAACAACATTGATTCACTTCCCCACCACAGTGCTCCAACACTGCTTCAAAGCATGGGCCTCAATAATATGCTTCAAATGATGCAGTACTAGCATTTCCTTGCCATGCTTATAAAAACCTAATCAGGAAATATATGCAAATAACTCTCTATAGAATATGTTCAGACCATCAAACTTTAGATGCCCAATTAATATGCTCTCAATTGTACTCAAGTGAGATATGTAAAATAGCCCAAAAGGGTACGAGAACTACTCCTTGCTCATCCCAGTGCTCTTTAACCCACATAATGAGATAAGGTACCAAGAAAACTCAACATTCAATGGAACAGTGGCTTAAAAAAAGAAGTATTTTTCAGTGTGACAGCAGCAGTCAATAAAAGGTATCCCATCTCACTAAATGCATGATGCTGCCTTGAGGCGAGGACTTCCCTTCACTTGCACTAAGCCTTGCAGCCCCAGCCACCAGCCCCCTGTAGCTCTTTGCTCGTGCCCTGGCTCTGCTGTGGACTGCTCCAGCGAACTCTGTCCTGGCCACATAGGCTACAAATGGGGCTCACTGGAATCACTCTAGATGTGAGTTAACAGCAATCACTTGGATTTCAGGCATGGAATTGGTGTGCTTGGCTTTCCTTTTATTTCTGGTACAGACACAGGCCAAAAGGTACCCAGTTAACATTTTTGGTACTGATTTGCTCTTGTACGTTCTATTTATGGTGCGTCCACATCACTGATTCAGCACACCTACAGCTGTACAAAACCATGGAAGACAGAAATGACAAATTATGCCCTAAGTGCTTTATAAGCAGGGCATCCAGAAAGGCAAAAAACCTCAGCATCAGTTACAACATTTTTAAATCCAGAGACGTCATGTAAGGACACAGTGGAAAAATTTATTCTGGTTTTCCATTAGTTTATAAACTTGAGCCAAATCTGTTGTTATTCTACCACAGTTTATTAGATTCCCAGTTGTTACTTTTCACTTCAGTTGCTGTTTTTAGGCTGCAATTAACCTCATGCCTCCAGAGTAAAATATTTTATTTCTTTCATTTCTATTCTAGCATTAATTGATGATTAAGTTCACTTTTCCACATTTTGATAAGATCCCCCCCCGCAGCTGGTGCTGTCTCTAACAGAACTGCTTCTCAGCAATATACACAGTATTCAGAAAAAGTGAAAGTTGTACATATAAAACATCGACATGCAAGTGGAATAATTAAGCAATTCTACACAACTAATGTCTTATCTACAGTAATTAGTATATAGACAACTCAGGATTATAAACATTATTGCAAATTTTTAATAGCTAAGCCTCCTTTAATTGGAATTATGGTATTATTGGTAAACATGAAAAGAAATCCTACAATTTGTGACTGAGTGATGGTTACATCTTCTGTGAAAACTGAACTCAATCTGCAAATTAATCCCCATGATTTTAAAGTCACTGTCGTAAGAATAGTCTCATCAAATAATTTTTAACTACTTTTGGCACAAATCCCAAAGTGTCATTGATATCAAATTGCTGGTTTTACTGTAATTTGCCTCAAACACAAATCATAATTATTTCTACCAGCATACTGAAAAGCCCTGGAATCCTCCTGTTAAACTACATGTCTTCACTGTTTGTTTTTTCAACAGAAAAGAATTAGCCATACAGCCTCTTCAAAGCTGAAGGTGTGGACACCATTTGAGGGCATGATGCTGCAGTCTCAGAATAAGGTGAAAAAGAGGAAAAAAGCATCATTAAGGTTATCTCAGATCAGTCTCCCAGATTAAAGCCTATGTGAAACAAAAGCATTTCATCATGTCATAAATTAAAGAGCAAAAAGAAATTAACTGACTTTCAAATATTCTGCAAATACCTTATAAAAGTCACATTTTTATTGTAGTGATGTAATTCTGGTTTTGTGATCAATAAACATTAGCTGTATTTGAAATACACAAAGTTGAACACATAGAACATTGCCTTCTTAAAATATTTAAGACTTATTAAGGTCATATTAATTCCACTCAAGAATTTATATTCCCCAGAAGTGTGACCACAAGAAACCACCCCAATTTCACATTAAAAAAACACAGCAAGTCTTGAAGAGCACCAGTTTGCTACCAAGATCTCTACGCAAATGTGAAACTGGGTAAGAGTATGTTTAGTGCTTACATCTTGCAAATGAGATTCCTTCTTCTTTGCTGATAAATTTAAGTGCTTCTCTAGGATGGAATAATATTTCTCACTTTCCTTGTCAAACTTCTTCTTCCCATCCTGAAAAACAAAACATTTCTAAATAAAATATTTGACTAAATATCATAACTAACCTAAATTAAAAGAAAGAATATGTGCCAAAAGCTACTTTTGTTGGTTCCAATGTTTTTAGGGTTTATTCTGAAATAGGCCTGAAGATACTAGGAGGACTGACTCAATTATTAAACGCAAGATTAAGCAGTTTCCCATAATAAATACACATGAGGTTTTATGTAGGTGGGATCTTGCTAAGCAGACATTTAATGCAAAATAATCTTCCCCAAGTTTTGTAACTGTACCTACCTGTCACACTGTCTTCACTGAAGAAAAATACTGTGGAAGAGGTAGATGAGTATAATAAATTTGATGATGATATACGCCTACCTTTTGCATTCAAGACTAATATGCTTATTTTCCACCCATACTCTTAAAATATGAGGATGATGGAAAAACACATACATGGTTGCAATAGGAAATTCGTCCAAAAATCTGTTTCCAATAATGTTTTGATGTGTCTGAATATTTAAGCTTATTTCATTTAAAAGAGTTATCCTGCCTTTTTCCTAACCCACTCTTCTTAAGTTTTTCCCATCACAGTCAGACAATGCTCACATTTCTACCATCAGACTACTTTAATGCATGATAATTCAATAAAAGGCTACTGCTATGAGTAAATTAAGAAACACCTGATTTTCCATTATCTAATTTAGAATTCATACATCAAATTTTTTTTCAGTCTGTTACTCTGCAATTTAAATTTGAAATTTAAGAAAAAGGCAGCTTTCGCAAAAGCTTTTCCATCTCTCAAGAAGTGCCAAATTTCAGGAAATAGGAAGAGAAATTAAAGTAAATATCCATCAGATTATTATTAATGGTAAAAATAGAATTTTGAATTATAAAGTTATATATCCTCCAATTAAGAGTATCTCTCTGTCAGTGACTTTTACTACCTTAGGTAAGTCCTAAGGATTCTCTGCAATGATTGACAACTTCAATATTTTGAGAAAACAAAGAAAACTCAAGATGAACCAGTCCTGCTTACACATGTGCAAAAGCTATTAATAGTGGAAAATCCAGCTCCTGGACATAACACAGTAACATCAGGTCATCTTCAGAACTGTAGTGATTCTTTTCCTGACCCCTTTCCCCCTAGAAATAGTTATATACAAAAGCAAATAGCTAGCCTGCATTGTAACATCACCCTGTTTTTCTTTGCCATATCATGGGAAAGTGAGGTTAGTCAGAGAATTAAGAAATATGAAGAAGAATTTCATGCCACGAATGAAAACCTAACAACCAGCTGTAACAACAAACCACTTACTGATTAGCTCCAGTGACTAAAGTTTACAATGGTAATCATACTGGATTACAAAACAGTATAGATATTTCTATCCTGCAAAAAGTTCAAACATATTTAGTATAAAAAATATGCACAATTTAATGTTCTCATTACCTCAAAATAGAAATATCTTCAGAAGACATCATAAGGAAAGGAAGGCACCTGGCCCAGCAAAAATTAATTAATAACACAGAAAAATTCCCAATGCTTTCTATATTTAATTGCAGCTATGCAGATATGAAGAAAAAAGGCAAAAAAAAAATAATAAAAAAAATAGAAGCTTGCATTTTGCCTAGCAAGGGAAAATAAGCTATATGAATTATCTTCTGAAATCTTTCCCATACAACATTCTTGAAAGAGAGAGAAGGCAGGACTCATCAAATGACTGATCAGCTGAGAAATTAACCTCTGTGGGACTGAAATCATAGGTCGGTTCCACAGCCACAGTTCTATTGGGAATAATCAAGTGCCAGGTCATTATGACCAAGCAAGAACAACCTCAGTATCTCAACATCTCCTTCAGTCAGACAGAGAAATACAGTTCAGTTGATCACACACCACAGGTAAGAAGGTGTAGTTAGTTGCATACTAACTTATCTTCTCAGACAGTGATGTTAAGATGCTGAATGAAAAAGAAATAACTAGATTACTTTAAAATCCAAGTGACACTGGTAAAAAAGCCAGCATCTTGAGGAAATCCACAAGTCAAGAAAAACTCAACTGTCACAGTGAAAAGTGAAAAGAAAATTACTTCCCCACCCCCAGCGTCCATGTCACTCCAAGTTAGGAGAGGATTCTGCCTGATCGCAATATTGAAGCTTTTAGTGACAAGCGGTTGGAGTTCATTAGTAGATACCCTGTCCATGAGACTTATCTTCTTCAGAAGGTAACTTGCCATAGCCTTCAACAGTGAGGCCTGGGTGCAGATGACGCATACTACAGATCTGGGCTTGACAACATGATGGCATTTGCTTCCTCAGAGGCTGGACCAAAGGAAAGACACGTGAAGCCACAGGCAAAACTCCTGCAGGATTACCTGTGTCACACTAGGAATCACCCAGCCCAGTCAGCACCAATTCCCTCCCTAATAGATTTAGGATATGAGCAGTAGGTATTCCTCTTGCTTTGTGAACTATTTGTCTCAGAATCAAGCTGATATACAGGTGATGGATGATCCAAAGTCTAGTTAGCCACCTGAGCTCACTATAACATAACCTTTACTAACAAGAGCTGAAGAGTCTGAAGTCTAAGCTGCTTGGTAAGAGTCAGAGAAAAGGTGTGAAAATGGAACTTGTCTGTCTGAAATAGCTCCTCTCCTTGATACAGCACATCAAATGCATGTCAATATCAAGAGGGATCCATCTATGTATCTAATATGGCTCCCAATGCACCAAATCCAGCTGCTTGTATTTTGTGCTAACATCTACAACAGAACATATGAATTATGTATGGCATTACCTATTCTCTTCATAGGTATAAAGGAAAACATAGAAAGCATGTTATCTGAACAGATACAACTCCCACAAGAGCAAGAAAAAAAAATCAAATAAACTAATTCTGGTTGCAAGCCATCTTGTATCTCAGGTGATGCTTCATAACTATCTCCATGGCACTGTCCATGAGGACACACAGAATTTGAAGGCTCTCTTGGTCTTCTGCCAGCACTGCCACCCTCCTCCCAGGCTGCATCTCTCTGATGTAACAGATCTGCTCAACCACTACCTTCACAGTTTTTATACCAGCAAAGTCAAAGAGAAAATTAACAATTTGGAGCTTCCTCAATATCAGGACAACTTCAGGCCCAGGTGCAGTGTTTCCAGGGGCAGCAGATCCTCTTTCCCAGACTTTAACACAACAAAATTTCTCCCTTCAAAGCTAGCAGTGGACAAAGTAAGAAGAAAAAACTTAAGTAGACTGAAAATAAGGTTTACTTGCCAATTTTGACTGCGTTATCGTCTATGTAGTGACACTTCTGGGAATACAGCTGCAATGCCAGCAGGGCAGTGTTTCTGGCACTGTCCTGATCACTCAGGCACATTTCTGGGAAAAGGCTATAAAATACTGGCCCCAACAGGTGAGCGAGTTCCCTTCACTTGAAAGGTCCTCCGCTATGCCAGTAAACCCCACATATTTGAATGTACCAAAGCCTCTGAAAACTGCTGCTTCATAAAAAATAAGAAATAAAGATACACTCAGAAGCAGATGATTCATTTTCTGGAAGAGAAGAAACACTTCAGTTTAAGCCAAGATAACTCTCACCTTGCACACTTAGCCAGTGACTCACAGGCATACAGGCACATCCTAAGTGGAATCACAGACTTACCTCATTCTAGCCTTAGCCTTTTCTTCTGCTACACTCAAAACACTCTCTTATACACAGCTGCTGCCCAGACTAGTCATCTGAATCATGGTACCAGCAGTCTGTGCCCACAGGACTGAGAATTTTCCACATGCCAAGAGCTTTACAAAGAAGGTTTCCATGCAAAACTATCTCCCTGCAAAGGAGGAGACAGAGAATTGCTTCTGCCTCTAGATTCTACCTTGGATCAAATCCCATGGACAAAAGAGATGTGGTTGGCTAAGAAAGCTCATGCTGTACTGTTACCAGAACAGCCACCACCAGCCATGACACAAAAACATAAGGTACATCGCCATTAGGAAGATGCTCTTCCTGATCTCTGTGCACCATGTCTTTTCTTCCCTTCAGCCTTCAGCTTCCTTCCTTCCTTCCTGCAAGTAATCCTCATCCTTTCTCTTTGTCCTGGAAACTTAGCCATTTCTGTCAAAATATCAGCTAGAAACACATGAAATAATTAAGAAGGTGCAATAAAAACATCAAAACATAGAAAAAAATTACAAAATACTAATCCTTGATGTATTTTACACTGATGTAGAAGACATCAATACCTTTTGTATAGACCAAGTTCTGCAGACTCTAAGCACTATAAATGTCTCTCTATAGTTTAAACATTCCTTGGTGTGCCAGGTCAGTAAACCTTAAATCAGTTAAAATATTTACAGTTTTAAACACTTCAAATTTCTAACAATCCCATTAGGAAAGCCCTTAACCAAATGCTCAGCTTCTAGCACGTAATGGAGTCTTACTGACTTCAGTACCCTCTTGACAGTGTCAAGTCATGTAACACAAGATCCAGGTTTAATTCCTGGCTTTGTTCTCCCTGCTTAATTTTCCTCTACAGTTTTATTTCAAAACTGATCAGAAAATCTCCAAAAAGAGAAAATCATCTTTTCAGGAACAAATCTTTCTCAGGATACCACTAATTAAAGTGTGCCAGTTAGAAGTTTAACTCAAAAGATATTCTCCCATCCCTCTTGCTTTACATCAACAGCTGTGAAAAGATCTGACATCAGTTATTAAAAAGGTGACTCAGTTGGGTCAGGTGATATTTTTCCTATTCAGAAAGATTTTGATTCCATGCTGTAACTAATCACATGCATGCAATGAATCACTGACATGATTCCTATAAATTTTAACCACAAGCTGTATATTTGGATGTAAAGCAAAAAGGGGTACTATATTTTGAAGCTGACCTCTCTTTTCCAGTGGGATCATCAAGAAATCAGATTTTGTCTTGTAATGATCTAAGTTTGCCACTACTTTGTGTCCAGTATTTTATGTCAAAATTGTTATATGTATCTTCAGAATTATTACATGAGGATT